TTTCCTAAAAATTGATCAAAGAAAAGATTTAATGTGTTTTTCGAAATCAGGAAACGTATAGATCCGTCAAAAACCGCATATCGGAAATTTAACTCGATTGCAATACTTTCCTTACCTAGTATAGGTAGGAAAGTAATAAATTAAAATAAAAAATAGGTGCTGTATCATCGCTAATACTGGTTCGATTCCGATGATTTTTGTTTTGTTTTGTTTGTAATTTAATTACCTTTCAAAAGTTTTTAAAATAAATTTTACCATAGAATATATGCTTAGCGAGTTAGGCCCAAAAACATTTTTCTATTCTTTATAACTTTTTTTTTCAGAATTTTTTCGGGAATTTAGTCCATATATGAAAATTGAAAGGACAATTATTAGAACATTATAGTTATAGTTTTCATGAAAATCGTCAGAGCCGTTTTTGCGCAGCAGACTATAGAAAAACATGTTTTCCATTTATTGCGCAGCAGCTATTGTGCATGGAGCATCCAATTTGTGTCATTAAAGGCAATGCATCAATCAGGCAAGGCATCAGTAGCCAAAACCCTACAAAATAAAAAAATAAGCAATTAAATCGGTTCAGAAGATTCCGAGAAAATCTTGGCACAGACAGACAGACCAATGGCTAAAAATGCGTTTTTCGGACTCGGGGGACTCAGAAACGTATAGATCCGTCGAAAACCGCATATCAGAAATTTGATCCGATCGCAATACTTTCCTTACCTAGTATAGCGTTGGGAATGTTTTCTTGCTGACGAAAGACGCTCATTTTAAGCGGGGATCCCTTCTTCGCTCGCATATTCTAGCATTTCCTACCATTTATTTAGTTTTATGGGTCGAAAAAAAGCTGAAGTTTAGAAATCCGACAGGTGTTGTCCAGAAAGGACGGATCTTACGTTTATACCAAGTAACACACATCTCTGGACAATATCATTGTAGTTAAAGCTAGTAACCTTTTAAATTCAAGATAAACCTCAACTAAACATACAACTTCGGTCTGTCGGCTGAAAGCTGTAGTTTTCTACGAGAAACTTTAAAATTTAAGAGGCGAAATTTGACGGTTCATTTAACGGAAGAACATGCCACTGAAATTTAGATATGATGTTCAGAATATGTCCATAAAGGAGAATTTACTTTGACGTGTTGAAAACTGAGGCGTCAAAGTCGTCAAATTAGGGCAGTTGGATAAAGAAAAATTTAGATAGTAAGTTTCCCTTCGGTTTTTTATGTTGTTTGAAATGCTGAATCTGAATTTGTGACAAAATGAAAATGACACAAACCTTTATATATAAATTATCCATGTTTATCAGATATAAATGTACAACTATCGCACAATTTTCTGGTTTTTACAAAGCGGAAATTCATCAATGTTCCGAGGGATTTTAGTTTATAGAAAGTCGCTTAATGACTTTTTTTGATTAAACTGACTAAATATCTGTTAAGTATCTCAACAATTTTATATTGGCAATATCGATATTTTTGATTCGATATAATACTGATATCGATAAGGAATATCGGAATCTGCAAAATATCCCAACAACAAACCTATTCATACCTTCAAAACGGTCCGTCGCAAGAGTTTCATGAATGAAAGTGGGTGAGGAACTTAACGACTCGACTCCCAACTTGAACGTTTGTTGTATCATAAAAGTGCATAGAATAAAAAATAAATGCAGTAAATACTTAAGTATAAAGTATACTGATTTAATTTTGAAAAATGCATTGATGAAGCAGTAGTCCGAGAGCTAGTGAAAAAAAAATTGGCGTTATCTTATGAAAATTTCAAAAGAATTGTTTTTAATATTTATAACATTTATACTAAAGAATGAGAATCTAATAGTGGGATCATGCTACCTGAAAAAATGATAGCTGATTTAAAAAAAAAAATGGCTAGTAACTTCAGGATCGAAACAAGAAATTTATTGGGAAAAAAAGTGAGAAAAGTTTTTTTTTTAGCTTGTATATATGGGTTTGAATATGTAAAAAAACACAAAATTGCTAACCAGGGTAAAACTTTTTACAGCCAAAAAAGTCTGATTTTTCGATCATTTTTAGTTTCTTCAATTAACGAACGTTACATTGTTCGTCTAACGGGTACCTGACTTTATAATTAGGTTAAGAGGTATTGTCGAAAACCACGATCAAAGAACGCTGATTTTTACTGGAGAATGGTACCCCTTTCGGTTCGATATACCGTTTACTAGTTATAGGTGAAAAAAAACAAAACAATATCGCAAAAATGTATGTTTTTTTTGGAGTAAGATATAATAAAGCATCCATTCTGGGATAATTCTGCAGAGTATAGCCCTGCTATTATGTCTTAGCAATTACTGAATGATCCAGTAAAGTTTTAGGCGTATTATGAAATGGATATTTAGACTTTTAACAAGTTGTTAGATCTCATGGAACCATTGTTGGAATACAAGTTCTAATTGAAGTCTAAAAAAGAAACTAGACGTGTCAAGCGTGAGAGTCGAGTGTCAAGGGTGGAAGGAACCGGTATGCAACACCAACACAACAAAGATGCACGCTAAAATCTCCAGCTGGCTGGTTCTCAAGAGGCTGAGGTCATGATAGCCGAATTTGTTGGAGCGTTACTCGTTCTAGCATCTTCGTTACTAGCGACGCGGTTCGAATCCGGCCTGGGAGGGGTTGACTTTTATTTCATGGCGGACCCACGGAATGAAAATTGACCCTCCCACTTAGAATAGGTTTGGTTGTACCTCCAGAATAACCCCTCCCCCCCCGTATGTCAAAATTGGTGGCTAGAGATTTATCCAAAAAAAAAATTAAAAAACTTTCAGACAAGTGGCATCTAGAGCTCTAGACACACTTGCATGTTCGGTGTGAAATGTCTCGTTTAATTACATAGTCCAGTATTTTATCCTGCGACCAGTATGCATGCATCTTGCACCTTCGGTGTGAAAAGGGCCTTAGATTTTAAAAAATAGCTCAGTATAGTTCGGGACTAAACTGGGCCTCAATGTCTTGCGTCGAAATTCTTGATCCATCGACTTTTGAAACCACCAGAGTTTACTTACTTCCATTCGACATTACTTTCCGGTCCCTCTATATATAATGTAAGTAGTTCGAATGTATTAAGAAGAAAGAAAATATCTAAGTCGAGAGTTACTTCATGCAGAAGCTAACCAGGCCCTCTATTTTAGTTACGTTGTGTTCGAAAAATTGAGGGAAAGATACGTATTTTATTATCTAATTGACGAAAGGCTAACTAAAAACGAAAAGGCTCCAAGTGAAACCATTTCTGTAAATTTGCACCTAATTATTAAAAAATCGCGTTTTACATAATGTACAATACGTAAAAATATTTAGAAAAAAAAACTAGGGCACAGAGCGATTATTCCAATCCCAGCTATCCCATTTTTTAGAGGACAATAATCTCCTAAATCCCTACCAGTCCGGTTTCAGGCCTGGTTATTCTACTCAGTCTGCCCTAATCAAAATTTCCCAAGACCTTCACAGAGCCATAGATCAGCAGAAACTCAATAGCTTTTGATTCAGTAGACCACAACATCCTCCTAACTAAACTTAAAAAATATCTCTTTTTCTTCTAGTTCTCTTAATTGGTTCCAATCCTTTTTAACCGGTCGCTCCCAATATGTTGTAATTCCTAATAACCTCCCATCAGAATCTCTACCTCTGTCCAGAGCCGTCCCACAAGGCTCTTCCTGATCCCCCACCTTTTTCTCCATCTATATAAATGATCTCCCATCCTCTATCCTGCACTGTCAATACCACCTGTATGCCGACGACATTCAAATTTACCTCTCCTTTAATCCGATCGATGTCTCAGATGCCATTCTAAAACCCCAATAAGATATTAACGGAATTAGTGCTTGGGCAAACAGGCTCACTCTGAACGCTGAGAAGACAAAAGCCATCTTGATCGGACCCCCCTCACTCCTCAAATCCTTCCTGGTATTCCCCTACCTCCTCCTGAACAACTCACCGATCTTATTCCACACTATCGTTAAAAACCAAAGTGTTAGTACGCACTATCTCCACCCTAAAACAGTTCAATCGTCTACGTTATCTCCTTCCATATAAGCCCCGTCAACTTCTAGTTTCCTCCCACTTCGACTATGGCTGTATGGTGTACGGTGGACTCTCGGGAGATTTCGAGGCTAAACTTAAACGCCTAATGAATAGCGCATTACGATTTGTTTTCGAAATCTCAAGGGATAGGTATATTACCCAGTATTACACAGAGTTGAGGTGGCTATACCCATCCTATCGCAGTCAGTACTTCCTAGCTACCTTTCTGTAGCAGATCATTAGAACTCATCGACCCTTCTATATTTTTCAAAGCTTAAAATTCAAATACTCCATCCAATCCCATCTCACTACATCTCGTACTTCCGACTTCTATCTCCCTCCTCACCGAACTGCTGCGTTTGACAATTTTTTTGCAATTCAAGTCATTTCCCTACAGAATTCCATCCCTGCTGATATTCGACACGCACAAACAGTTTCCTCTTACAAACCCCTTCTCTTTAAACACCTACTCCTTTCTCAATCCGCCTGATCACGAAATATAGATAAGAGAGCTATCTAAGAATCCTCAGAAAATATTTCTGTTATTTAAGTTTTTTTCTGTTTGTATTATGTACGTATATTTACGCTTTTTATGTCTCTTTCTCTCTTTTCGTCTGTATTTTTACTTTTAAATAACCAATATTGTAAATATCTACTCTATTTATGACCACTTACACATTAATCAGAACTTATAATTTGTTCTAAAGGGACAACAGTCTTAGAATAATAAAATATATTTTCATTTCATTAATAATTTATGGACACTTTTACGACACTTCTTATAAGTTATTTTATGGGATGAGAAAATAAAAAGCTATAACCACGGAGAAAACTTGCCACTTGCACTATACTACTTATACATAGAGTGGAAACTAAATTTCGTATATAATACAATATAATTGTATATAATATAATAAAATGTTTACAGATGGGCGGAGCTATCGGGGATGAGAAAGACAAGTTCACCTTGCCTTGGCCGAGACATGTGGACGGCCCACACCGGCCTTGCTACGCGGCCATCGACCCCTCCGATCGCCTCTGCCGCACGGCAACTCGTCGGAGGAACGTTAGCGACGCACAAAATATACATCTTTTGTAAATTCAACAACAACAACAACAACAACGTCGCCGATCATACACAGATTCATCAATGAAGTCCTTCACAATGTCAGACGCGAGTAAACTATGAAGTCCTGAAGCCTAAACTTAACCTATAACGAGACACCCAAACAATTTACACCTGAACCTCGTTAAGAACTAAGAATTCAATGACTCTTCAAATCTTGCCAGCAACTAGACACTGAAGACTCCAGTATGAAGGTTTGGTAGCAGACGGAATCTTTGCCCAGTCAATGAAAGGAAAGGAAGGAACATAATTTTTTTGCTTTGGGACAATGTTTCGACTATTTAAGAGGTAGACATATTAAAGGCCCCCAATTCTAGGAAGATACGAAAGTTAAATATTTTTTTTGTATAATCTCGAAATAAAATTATAATTTCTCTACCTATTGAAGAGTTGGACATAAGAGAGCAAAATAATGTATATGGTTCAGATAAAATTTAATGCTTAAGAAATTATTTTCTCATAGCTTTTTCATAAAATGAATTGGCTAATAAAATGACAACAAATTGGGGATTATTGAGCCCGCATAACTCCGAAGAAGATAGCGAAATAGTGTAAAAATTCTAATTATCAATATTGCAGTAATTTTATCTCATCTTTAATTGTATTTTAGTATGTTTACCTCCTAACCAGCCGAAACAATTTCCCAAAGGCAAACATTTTGTTCCTTTCATTTCCATCTATACCTTTATTTTGAGAAATCATTGGCTGGACTACTGATGGGCTCCATCATCTTATTTGTCAGTTACTTTATTCGGTATTAATTATTTTTAATAAAAATCTCGTCAAATCATTTTAGCAAACTTAACAATGGAAAATAAAAGTTTAATAACTGATAGTCCTTCAATCCATAATCATTTATAGGTTACATATTCTGATGTACTTTACTTTTAAATCTTTCCAGGCATATATGAACATTTTCGGTTGACAGAATGACTAAATCCAATTTAAACATCCTTTATTATTTAGTTTAGTGATGTTTCTAGTGGCAAAATTTATAACTTTATTCACAGTTATATATTTCATCACTGCAATCACCTACTCCGGGATCATCTTACTGTCTGTACAGATAACTTTTCCAACTAGAAAAATTACTAAAATGACATTACTTAAAAAATGTTGAAATTGGAGGTCTATCAACTGAAAGGCTCAGAGACCGAAGTTATGTGGTTTATAAAAGCAGATGGAGAAAGATTTTTATTGCCTATCGTCGATAAAATAAATAGACTTTAAATTTTAATGGTCTTAATGATTGTTTAAGCTTTAGCTTAGTTTAAAATGTGTTTCAATGCTGATATTTACCAAATTTGTCAAAAATTGACATAAATGAGCTTGGAAATCAGTTCCCTAAGAGGAAAAACCTATAGAATCAAAGTTGAAGAGTATCGAATTTTTCAGTTTTCAGGTCAAGCGAGGTTCAGAGCTGTTGTTTGAAGGCAAGACAAAAACTCACGTCAAAGTTACACTATATATCGTCGGAAAACTTAATAAACACAATTATTTACTTCAAGCCCTGACTATTCATCCTTACAATTTCAACAATCAACTATACATCCATTTCTGAAATATTTTTTAGAGTAAATAATTTTTTAAACACTCAAAAAGTAGGGAAAGAAGGCGTATAATCACTTTTTCTTTTTAAAAAATTACATTACGTACAATACGGTATTACAGAATCCATTTTTCCGCTCATAGGAGCGATGGATTTTAATTTATGATACATTAAACGAAAGTGAATTTAATGAAAACTTCGTTAACGCCTGCTAAGATTCTATAAAGAATTGAGGGTCTTGTGGAAAAATTTCGTTTCTCTTATGTATGTTGTAAGTTCATCAAATGGATCGACGAAGTCATATAGACTTTAATAAATCACAGGTCGTGGGTATTACAGGGTGAGATAGTGGAAAATAAAACAACGTTCATCTTTCCTCCAGTTCGTCTTCCATAGCAAAAAGTATATCAGGAAGCTAGATGCGAACAAGACCGCATAAGAGGCACTACACCCAATCAAATAGAGGGTTGAGTCCATCAGACTCCATCCGGTTGTAGAGGATTAATAGGCTAAATCAAAAACACAAATTACAAACTTGAAATTGATTCTTAATAACGAAGGTACCAATCTAAACTGGCACAAGGCAGTACTCTGGCCAATCAGAGCAGCGCTTGATAAAGGTCATGAAAATCGCTCTCATTCTCAAATAAAATTCTTCATGCGTCTACTCTGTCATTGGTGCCAAGACAATACAAAAATTGTTCTTCTAATACAGAAACCTTCAAAATTGATGGTCCGAAACAATTTCTTATTATGGTTTAGTTTTGCAGACTATATATATAGGTGCAAAAACCAAATATATGGACACAGGTTTTGGAGGAGACAGGCGCTTACACATTCGAAAAAGTGACCTAGAATTCACCAACCTCGGATCTCTCGTCACAACCTCAAATTATATGTCTGCGGGAATTAGAAAACGTATGGCTGTGCCAACCGGTGTTGCTTCGGGCTTCTTGAGACAATTCGCGGTAGGCTTCTCGGAACACAAACTAACTCTCCACAAAACTTTTTTGCCCGTTTTTTTTTTTCATATGGCTGACAGGCTTATTTCGTTGGCTTTTAGGTTAAACGGGTTTTTCCTGGGACAGGAGAGAGGGCGAGGGATTAATGTAAGAGTAAAAAAAAACCTCTAAAAATCAATTATAATGATTTTATTTCAGGATTCAACTTGAACATTATGAAATAAAATCATCAGAACTAGTTTGCATTGAACCTATAAAACAAAAATTGATTTTTCCTCACTTTCTAGAAATGACATATGTCTGTCTGGATATGAAGCCACTTATATATATATATATATATATATATATATATATATATATATATATATATATATAAAATCATGGGCATAACCAAGGGAAAAGCGTGTATTTTTTTAGTTATTCACAAATAAAGTTTGTTTTCTTTCATAACTTGTTTGTCTGAATTTTCGGGGTGATTGGACTATTTTGCCAGCCTGAAGGAGGAGGAAGCCTTCGAAATTGGTGGCTCAATCTTGAGATTTGGTGAAGAATTAACGATGATATGGCTGGCCGATCAAAAACACCATCGATAAATAATATAAACTCCTCCTTTCTCGATCATAGAGGCCTCAAGTCGACGAAATGAGACATGTATTCAATGACATTACTACAATTAACGTAAGGTTGTGTGGATGCGAACCCAATGCCTTGCGTTATCTCGAAAATAGTACATTTTTGGGGTTAGAAACGCAGGATCCGATAGTTCCGGAGGAACTATCCGGGTCTTGCTGTACGCATCAAAATCTCCAAGGTCCAATTTGTCCCGTGTCGATCTACGGACCTACCTGTATTGAAGAGCAGCAAAATGTTTGTATCGACTTTATTTATTTTAGAAAGAAAAACAAAAGTGGAGAATACGATTCGCTAACCCCCCGTGAAATTCTGAATCCAACGGTACTCAGGTATTTGAGCATGACAGGAGCTTATATTTGACACAAAACCTATTTCGAGCCTTTCTGTAATAATATATGTGGGGATGGAGATGGGGATATATTTGACCAATTGAAATCGTCACCATACAACGCTTGAAAATGAATGAAAAGAACACGCACCATCAACGAGGTTTAACTCGCTAATATGAGCCGCACATGGAGACAATATGTTAAATTATTCTGTTTCTAAAAATTACTTGTGTTAAATTTTAAAATATCTTTTTCAGTTGGAGAATGATCAGGCAATCAGACTCTAGAGAATAAGAAGGAGATAGACGTGCCTCCTGAGAAGGGATAGGTTATTGAAATCTTCCTCGCATGAAAAATTATAAAGCTTCTGGGGTTAACTGTATACCAATGGAACTAGTGAAGTATGGCGGAGATACAGTACTCAATGAACTGTACGAAATAATTTTTGGTGTATAGATGACTGACAGGATACCAGTGGAATGGTATACAGCATATACTATTTTATGCCCCATCTTCAAGAAAGGCGAAATACTGCATTGTGACAATTGTCGAGGTATAGCTCTCCTTATGGTTGCCTACAAGATACTGTCGTCTTTGATTTTCAGGAGATAAAGAGAACAGATGGAGAAGATTGTAGAATTTTTTTCTCTCTATTTTTATTAGGATCGTCCTCCCCTTCGAAGTCTGTGCCTGAGCAATTCATAACTATCGATTTAAAAAATAATTTTTCTTTAAAATCGATGTTCCTAACTAGTGCATTGACTTCTAATTTTGGATTAACGTTAACGTAAATGGATCCGCATGTGAGAAAAATAATGCTATATTGTTTTTCAAAATGTAAAGAAACATCAAATCATGGCACCGACCTGCGGTGCCCTCTGGACGCGGTGGCTCTGCATATGTTCACTTTTGGAAAGTAAGGAAAATGTTAAATTAAACTGAGTTAATTCCAGGACATAATGATGAGGGCACGCAGTCAACGCTAACGTTGTGATCAATCTCATTATGGTGGAGTGAAGCCTTGCAACAGTTCTGAGAGCTGTCATCCCTCAAGGTACCTTTACTATAATATTATTTAACTTGACATGATTCAGTAAGCTGGGAGAAAAAGTAAAATAAATGAATAATTCGCCAGTAAGTTAAATTATTTTAAATTTAAAGTATCAAACATGAACCTTGAGATTTTTTTTTCTAATTTATGAACGTTGAGCATATCGGTTTTCAACGTACATGGTCATTCTTGACTACAAATGAATCCCTGAATGTGAAAAGGGCACATCTCTAATTGATAAATTAATAAATAATGTTTAAAACTTTTTTACTCCAACGGTTAAAAAAAGACGAATGTGAACGACAGAAATTTAAGCACTTACGACACCTATTCAACATATTAAACAGAGCCAAATTTCCAAAGCATGTTTCTTTTAAAATATGCTTCTGTCTATGAGAATACTTAGGAGAAAATACAGTAATTTCGGTAATTTACAATAAAAGTTATATCCTAAGAATAAAGAATCATTAAAAATTTGTTAATATAAGAGGACGCTATCACCACTATCTGCGAAGGTCGATCGGGAATAACTGTTGTGGAACAACAATATGAGTTATGTTTATGTTTATCTTGTGGGATCTGTTATCAAACAGATTAGGCTTCGTGTACATTGGACGTGTATTTCTCACGGCACGATGTCGTCCGACTTCGGAAGACTTCGCTGGAGAAACAATTCTTTGGAGGTACCCACAAAGAAAACAGTAACCCAATAGATGATGACTGCCGACCGGCGGGCTGACAGATCAAACAATTTTGTTTCCATTGCAATTTTCCAACAAGACAGCTAACGATGTCGGGGAAAATAAACAAAGAAATATTAATCAATTTTGTATAAAATGAGACTCACCGGTGAAACCAACGGGAACAAAGCAAACCACAACCAGGAAGTGAAGCCCCAATTTTGGCAATCTATTATCAAGCAGCTTTTTTTTTTTTTTTTTACGTAACGTATAGTTGGATTAGAACTTACTGTATGCTATTAAAAATAACCAAAAAACAAAACAGGAATTGCTAAAATGTAAATCAGCAGAAGAAAATTATCTTCAACGATTTCGACTTTTTTTCACCACCCTTAAATTTTCTAGTCAACTCAATAGACAGTAAAAGGTGCCATCAAACCAGTGAAACGTTTTGAGAATTTAATACTTTCATTAGCAAGAAAGAATGTACCTCCTAAAATTCAATCATGTCTACTATAGAGAGGACAGAACATAACATGGTCTCAGACCACGGGCGGATCTACGGGGGGGGGAGGGGCTTTCGGGCTGAAGCCTCCCCCCAAAATGGTAAAATGTAACCATGTTTTATGGAAAACAATATTAAAAAATTATCTCTTAAAATATTATTGTTCATGTAATCACATTTAAAAGGTCTTTAGGAATCATTTAAACACCATTTCATGTAGGTAGTTAGTTTATTTCTCTTTTTCCAAAGTAATTATCGTTATTTTTATGAAAAAAAAAAAGTTTCGGGCTGAAGCCCCCCCCCCAAAAAAAATTAAATCCTGGATCCGCTAGGTGCCTCTGACCAAGTTATTCTTCACAAACCCTACATCAGCCTCTCAGTCCACAATCTACCATGAAGCTGCTTGCAAACTAAAATTACCGTTTATATTTTATTCACTCTAATTATACAGATCGGGGTCATATGAGATGTTAGACCTGACTATCATGTCTATTATTGACCTTTGGCTGCAGAAGAGATTTTTCCTACAAGTGGAGGTAACCTAACTTCTGAGGACTTTTTATAGAGGCTGGGTGTGCCCCAGGAGGGTCTATCTACCCAGGGTCGTCCCACAACCAATGAAACAGAATAAATAATTATTCTACCATGAGCCAAGATTCGAACCTGGGAGGACCTTTAGCATTGGAAGCTGATGAAAACAATCTGAAAATTTATGCAAGGTAACCAATTGGATAAGCATTTAACTAAAAATTTAAGCTCAATTAGTGAAAGAAAAATAGTGTGAATTAATTCATAGTTAAATTGAAGATAGTTCAAGTTAGTTCTTAAAAATTTTAAATTTAAAAAACTGAAGAGGAGATGAATAAAAAAATAATGAAACAATTATCCAACTAACATTTTTAGTTAATGACCTATTAAAGTAAATAGAAATTTGAGCCAACAAAATCAATCTTTTTTTGTTTAAATGTTTTTCTTTAAATCTAAATTAAAGAATTTATTAATGAACTAATGAATGAATTAAGCTAGGTTTCTACTAAGAATTTACGAAATTTGTATAATAATGTATATAATAATAAAAATAAATAAGAAAAATATTAAGCAGCCTTTAACAACTACCATTCAAGAGCTTTATTTTGAATATTAAAAAAAACATTAATGGGATTCAATTATGATTATTCGAAAACATATACCAGATTCGACCTGGAACTGCAATACTCAAGAACAACAATGCAGGCAGTGCTTTAACACTCATGCCCACATGAACCATCGAGGTACCAACCCGTGAAATTACTGAAAATTCTAGCTGTACCAATTCTCTTCAATACTTCTTGCATTTAGCACTTTTTAAGGAAGTACTATTTCTTGTTCAACAATTATGCTAAAAGGTGATATGACTAAGATCATAGTTAAGTCATATCATGAATCTCTAGTTAAGTCATATCATGAAGTTTGACAACCTGTCAAATAATCGGCCATTACAGCAAAATTTTAAATATATAACACCACATAACCCAATAAACAAGCAGTAATATTTATTAACTTACTTCACAATAGTAACTACATTAAAAATTCTAAATTCAATTAATTTTTTTTCTTTTCCTTTTGCAGGAGAGATCGATAACTGCCATAAAATGCATTAGAATATTTGAAGAAACTTATAATTATTTTATCAATTTCATTAATATCTTTTGCTAATAATAGCAGTTTATGGGTTCTTAAGTTATAACTTTCAAATATGATTATACTTGTATTCAATGCTGAAAATCATTATAATGAAAGGAGTGAATGATAGTGTAGATTTAAGAGTATAATTTTGTTTCCCTATTTCTATTCTAGTTGGATGCTACAAAGCCATTAAAAATATATAATGGCTCTCTTATTACAAACAATAGAACATCAATACCAATCAGAACATTATAGCAAGTCATCAACAATGAAAATTCATTAAATTACAATTAGTTGATTAAAATGGGATTAATATTATTCGAAATATAATCAGTTATTAAGAAAACAATTATGAAAACATGAGAACACAATAACTTATGAGATTTTAAGAACCCATTTTCAAATAATTAAAATATATTTTAAAATGATGCTTACCATGTCCATTTTTCGGTGAGTGTCGATCACTGTCTTGTCCTTGAGTAAGAATGATCTGTGATTCCAATTCCTGTAATTCTGCTTGAAGTTCACTTAACTTAGAATTGGATTTCTTAACTATGTGGGCTACGTCTGATAATGACTTCCTATCTCTAGCCACTTCTCGTAATTTTTCTGCTCCTTCCTTAATTTTAAGTTCTTTGCGAATTTCTTTTCGAATGTGCTCTTTAAGCTCTTCCAATTTGTAAGGAAGTGCAGATTCAGGAAGAGACTCTGTTTGGAACCCATATTTGTGACTTAACTCATACAACACAGGATGACGAATGTAATCCCCCTAAAGCAATAGAAATATATACAAATTTAGAATTAAATTTTAAAAATTGATTTCTAACAACTACTTTGCAAAGCATAAGCAGTACAGTAATTATTATTGTATAAACAATTAACACTAACTACAAACAAAATAAATTTGATAGTTTTTCAAAAACACCTACATACAAAATGTTAAAAAAATGAATAAATACCATTTAGTAAATTAATTTATATTTATACCAAATAAGGAGAGTTTTTACAAGTGATTTTATAGAATTTTTAAGAACTAGCATTCCATTGTACAACTTTTCTATCATAAAATATTTTCAAAATACGTAAAAAAAATAATAATTGAGTTCATATCACGAAATTTGTTAATACTACTTTCTTTTACTATAGTGAAAAATGAAACACTGCCACCTAGGAAACATTCAACCATTTTAAGTTGTAGGAAGAAAACAGATTATACTATCCAAACACTGAACACTGATGGTCAGATACAAACACTAACATTTTAAATACATATTTACTAATCTAAGCATAACATTAAAATTGCCTAACAGTGCTAAAATAAAATATGTTTCTAGCAACTCAGGGTAAAATGTTGAACATGCAAAATATTGTAAACATTAAAGAAAGGAAATACTATAAAAAAGAAATAAAATTTAGTGATATTATTTTTACTCAGGGCATGCTGCATACTAGATGAAATATGATTTGCCATTCGACTCACCGTCCCAAAAGATGTCCGTTGCACTTCAAAACAGTTACGCCCAACAGAAGTATTCAAAACATTTCTCATGAATATATTCATTCCCCAAAAATAATTCAAGAAAAGACCAACTGTAAGGAGATTGGGATGAGATAGGCCATATTGGTGAGTCGAATGACTTCTTTTAGGTTTCTCTAACCATATCATTCATCATGGTTATTCAATGAATCTGTTAACATTATTGGGGCATTTAGACACTTGAATTATTTAAAATAACAGTAAATATATCAAAGCTAGATTGAAAAGTTGAACTGGAAGCAAATCTACCAAATACAGCTCGGCAAAAATTTTGTAAAAAGTAAACATGTCAATAATAACACCTTTACTTACAGTGACATTCAGAGATTTGAATTTCAAAGGCTTCACCTTATAAAGAATCATGACAGCTCGGGAGAAAAATTTAACACCATACCTCACATCACGGCAAAATAGTTACTGAAAGCTAAAAGAATTATTTTCACTTCAAAGGATCCCATCTCCCCTCCCCTCTGATGTTCTTATCACAATTATCTTTCTCAACTCTTCAAACAATTACCTATTTCCTCTTGTTTCATTGTATTCTTTTCCCATGCAAGTACTTTCCCATAGGTTGATCAGAGAAGAATACCGAATACTTTAGTGATGTATTATACTACACCGATATATATCCATTATCAAGAATAATATATTAAACCGATTAATAATTAACAGTATCAATGATAAAGAATTATTACTGTGTTAAGAACTATGACTATCAGGAATTAAGGGTAAACACAAACTGTCACAAAAATTAAATTTAATTTCATTAGTAAGCTTAATAGCAAAGAAATGTTCAACTAAACAGAGGAAAATATTATTCTTGTTAATTATATGATTATTTGTAAACCAAGATTAGGAAAAGGTTATACATGAACCCACGCAACGAAAAGCAACCAAGCACACACGAAGTTAGTTAAGAAGCTTTATAGTTTTAGAGTACATTTTTAAGCTGCATAGTATTAATGATAAAACAAAAAGTTAAATACTTACTTGATAATAACTGTAGTCCGCCATCTTATTATAAGGTGTAGCACAATACATACAACGTAAAATACAAATCAAACATATAAAACTCCGAAATACTTATATTATTTAAAAACATCAATAAGTCATGGAGAAAAAAGACCGCCAAATATCACTTCATACGTAGAATACAAAATTGAGGTTAAACTGACACATCACACTGAAACCATCTTCCACTCCACAATCTTACCGACTGATTGAGCTAACAGCCAATCGCCTTCAAGAAGCATTCATTCCTCATTTAACTCCATGAGCTTTCCTATTGGTTCATATTTCAAAGCTATATCAATTAGCTTAGTGTCAATTATTTTGTAGTTTTAAACTAAACTTATCTTTTAAAAATAAACTAATGAGAAAATATTTTCTATCTATTCCTATATTCACTCATAAATTTTGCTAATCATTAGCAATATTATCAGTGCTATCTAAATTATAGCAACAAGTGTTCAGTTGTTTGATGCAAATAAATTAAACCACTCATTCCATCAGTTATGAGTCACAGATGTAGTGTTTTATTGGTTGATAGTGAACATCAGTTTTTATGTCAACCTTTTGAACTGTGTGTTATTTATTGAGATAGTGAGATTTTCCTTTTAAATTACTGTTAAAGTATCATAGTGTAATGATGGAAGTTGACCTAAAGTTGTGTGTGAACATTTTTATTTCATTAATTTTTATGGTGCGTTTATAAATAAGTATGTTTTCCTATCAATTCTTCATTTAGTTGGTGTTATAATGGAAGGAAGCAACTTACCTTCTGGGCCTGTTCCATTGCCCAGGAATAGAAATATGACCAAGACACCTGTTCCTCTCCCCAGGACAGTTGTAAATGTTATTTTGGAACCTAGTTCAGATGAAATGTCAACAGTTGATAATGAAAATTGTAAACCATCTAAGGCTCCATTACTTCATCCAAATACTATCCGCAAGAGTTTGAGAAGAGTAACTAGTAATGTGCAAGAAAAAAGTAGTGCTGTTTTAAACTCAGCTAAAAACGTTAGCTCTAAAATGGAAAGTTCTGTTCGTAACATATTAGGAAAACGCCACACAGTGTTGGGCGTTGAAGAACCATTTGAGAAAGAAGGTGATGGTGATAAACATCGATGTCTTTCTCTTCCTTCTGATGATATTTTTAGAAATATAAGTTTTGAATCTCCACTTTCAGAAGCAGATGATGTTTCCGACTGCCCCTCAGTATCATCTAGCCCACCGTGTTATCCACCTCCACCTTTACCTGATGAATCAATTTATGATGAGATTCGATCCAATCAATCAGTATTTTCAGGAAATTTATTTACTTCTTTACCGTCACCTGAAATGTCGATTGCTAGTAATAGCAGCTATTATGAAGAAATTCATAGGTCAGAAAGCGCTAACGGTGCTTCTAATTCTAATGCTTCATCAGGTGAGTTAGAAGATTCCAAATCTTTTAATTATTATGACATTCCTTTTGCTCTAGCCAAGCAAAGAGGCCATAGTTATGAGAATGTTGCAATAGAATATTTACCTACTGGGTCTTTCCAAAATATATATAGTGAGGAACCAGCCAAACCTAAAATTTTCAAAAAACCTATTATTTGTCCACCTAGTGAAGAGGGTTCGGTTTGTAGTACAAATATTTTATCTAATTCAAATTATGAGAACTGGCAAATTTCTGCTTCTTTGCGTAGCATATCTACTAAAAGTAAGAGGTCGTTTGCAACAAAATCAGTAATAGATGAATTTGACCCTCTGTTTGAAGGGCGAGCCTCTAGAAAAGAAAAGGAAGATAAAATAAAGATGCAGCTTGAAGCTAAAGATGTTTTCATTGGCATGAATGAGTTACAGAAATCACCTACTTCTCCTGCTATGCTTGATATGCATTCATCAACCTCTTTGGTACCCAATGATTCTGGAGAATATTTCTTGTACCATAGAGGAGCTGCTAATCAATGTTTACTTGGAGGAGAAGATATTCCCAAAGAAATACCAGTACTTACACAAGGGAGAAAGAAAAGTAGCTTGATAAGATGGAGTAGTATGAAGCGTGCAATTAGAATGGTTGCAGATGCTGCAGCACCATGGTCACCTGCCATGTCTAGAAAAAGTCAAAAAGTGAGAGAAGATGGTCAGAAAATGTCAACTCTTTTGCATAACGGTTATATTTTTAAATCTCCATCCAATGGAGAAAAAACTAAAGATCTATTAAAAAAGTGGTGCCAGATAGCTGATGGAAAAATTACCTTGACTGTTGATAAAAATGGCGGGAACAAAGAAGTGATTGCTTTAGACTCGATACTTAGCATTCAAACTGTTCTGGATGTTAAACTGAGGTATTATTTATTACTTGTGCATACTTCAATTTCTAGTCTATTTTAGATATTTAATTACTATTAGAGTACTTATTTAAATAATGAGTGGTAACATCATTAGCATGCAACTAAAAGTGACCACATCATTAATTTTAAAGTTTAAATGATTAGTATTCATAAAAATGTATGGTAAATCAAGTAATTTCTATTGCTTTCCTGTTGCCATTAGTAATATCACATTGTTTTCCATTGCAAAGTGAAAAATTTTTAAGTTTTCGTTTTCAATTTACTAAAATATTAAATCTGAGACCATGAAATAGTAAAAGTTAATTCAGTCAGTTTCAGTTGCATGTCGACAATAAATAGTAATTTTTGTTGGTGTAATAAGGAAGTAAGGGCGAAGTTTATTTCCTGGGTTCTGTTTATTTATTAATCCTCAACTGCTACAATACTACACTACGAGCAACATACGTCTTACAGACACAGTCCTCGTATTCTCGTGGTTTTAGGTCATTTATTGAATAAAATTGTACCTTGACCATATACTTTTTATATTTAAACAAATTTTTACTTTTTAAAAATATGTAAATTGTATATAAATATACATTTTAAAGTTAAATAAAACGTTTATAATAAATGATGTAGAAATGGTTGACCGTTGATATAACATGAGAAGGAGTTGATCGGGGAGTGCGGTCAAATTAAATAATTTAATTTAGTATTAATTTGACCGCATCCCCCTGATCAACTCCTTCTCAGTTTATAATAAATAGAAAAAAAATCTTAATTTATGAAGTGCATGGTGTACTAAATAATGCTGTTCTACTCTCAGGATTACCTTCATAATCTTTTTCAGTTTTTTCATATTTAACGTCTTTTTCAGACGTTGACAACTAACTAACTTTCTTTCAACGTCTTTCCTGATGAGGATACAGATCCTTGTAGTTCTGGGATTGCTGGTCTTTTAATTTCTCCCACATTGTTTTCATTTTATGATTGGTTCATTTCATCATTTCATTGATCATATCTTCATCGAGCAATAGAAGAAAGATGTCTTCAATGTCAGCGCCATAACGCTGGTAGTTTCATTTTCATAATATTTTTAGATGGGATTTTTGAAGATTTTGGTTGCAGAGTACCAAGTATAGCATTTCTTTTTGCCATGAAAATCTAACCAGCTCCTTTTCATCATCAGGTATTCTGCTATTTTTCAGTTGAAGATAATTATCAAAGTTTTCTTCAGTAACCTGTATGTTTATGATTATAAAACAAATAATGAATTCCACAAACAGTGTCTTCAAACTTAAATCATGTGTCTGAATAGCAACATATCTTCATTTAAATAATATTTTCTGTTATTGTTGTAGTTTTTATAAACTCATTCTCTTTCATGAAAATATTTTATTAATGTCTTAATATGTATGAACTTTTTTTTCTTCCTAGTTCTGAAGGAGAGCCATTAATTTGTTGGGAGCTGAGTACTGTTGGAAGAATTAAACCTCATTTATTTGGTTGTCCTTCACCTACTGATTCAAAACTATGGATGCGGACGATTTTAGAATCGTTAACAAATGTCTTCCCTGCTGCATTAACTGTTGATTATACGCGTGCTGGTCAATGTTTTTTGAAGGTACATTAACTTATCTTAACATATGAAATTAAGTTTTAGATACTGCATTATTCTCTAATCTGGAATTATTTAGCTTGTTCTTATTATCATTTTTTTTTCTAGGTGATTAGATTGTTGTTTTTTAAATTATACATGCTTATATTTTAGGAGGGTGTCAGTAGTGATTGGCATGGAGCCTGGATTCTTCTTTGTAACAGAACATTATACTACTGTCAGATCGAAGGAAAATCTAAAGATATAGATTTAAGAAAAGCCAGGTGCATCGGTGAGTGAAATCTTTTAAAAATTGAGAATTGGTACTGTTGAAATACTAACTGTTTTTAAAATAAAATACTGAAATTTCCACCTCATTTCTATGAAAATCCCAAACTGTTGGTAAAATAAAATACTAGAAATTTCTATCTTATTTCTATGGTACTATACCTAACCTCCCCAAGTTCCCATTGACTACTATTTTGAAACTTTTCTTTTCCATTGTCCAAATGCTAAATTGGCTCGTGATTTCAATAGCTTTTTTGTTTTTTACTTTCCTACCTATACTAGGTAAGGAAAGTATTACGATCGGGTCAAATTTCTGATGTGCGGTTTTCGATGGATCTGTACGTTTCAGAGCCCCCTGAGTCCGAATAACACATTTCCCAAGATTTTCTTGGGAACTACTGAACCGATTTTGTTGCTTTTTTTATTTTGTAGAATTTTGACTACTGATGCCTGTGACATAAAATGAGTGTTCCATGCCCAATAGCTGTTGCGCAATAAATGAAAAACATGTTTTTCTATAGAATGTAGCGCGAAAACGGCTCTAACAATTTTATGAACCTTTCCTATAATGTTTTAATAATTATCCTTTCAACGAAGTTATATCTATTTAATTTCCAATGTAATATAACGGGTTCATATCCTGGTGTCAGAAAGGGGAGAATGAAGGAAAAAAGATAATAAAGTGAAAGTAAGAAACTCTGTTACCTTTATTGCACAAGCTTTACCTCTACTTTTAACAGAAAGTATTTTTTGAGTGGGCGGGGTAGCCGAATGGGCTAACATGTGTGCACAGCACTGCTGTTGCCCGGCAACCTGATATATCAATCAAATTATATAAAATAGTCACGAGTTCGCGTCCCGGTGCCGAGGGAGTCTTTTAAATCCCCGCCCACACTCCCTGGCCCAGGAAAACCCCGTATAGCCTTAATGGCAAGGAAGGGGAGGAACCAAAAAAAAAAAAATGTATTGTTTGACCAAATTAAGCTATGGCAAAAAGTTTTTGATCAGCTATATTAGAGGGTATTGAATTTTTTATAATGATCTACCTTAAGCTGGTTTACATTGCTTTAGTTTATCAGATAAATCTAATTCATTTTTTTTTTTTTTTCTTTATTGACATATATAAAGATATAAAAACTTTTCTGAAATAGGTAGGTAGGAAAGTTGTGTGAGTGGACACACCAGATTTATTTTAATCTGCTGACCATTCTGGTTAAAAATCTATCTTTTATATTCTCTTAATTTTAACTTTCCAATTGAATTCTACGTCAAAAACTTGGATTTGTGCCCATTCACACTGTTTTGAAACAATTTTATTATTCTCACTTGTCTCCTTGTTTATTTTAGCTCATTTCTTCTCTTGAATTCAATGTTTACTATATTTTAGTTTTGGAATCCCTCGTGGTACTCCATATTCTATACTACTTCCCTGAAGGGAACTAAGCAACTAGTTGCTTCCTAGTTATTTTATTTTTATTGTTTCCATTATTATTACTTCCGGCAGGTGTTGTCATTTCATACCATTGTCAGCAGAAAAAATCAAGATTCTATCTTTCTGATTTCTCTACCTCTCCCACATGATTGAAACATTCCTTTCAGCCCTCTCCACTAATCTTCTTTAATATACCCATCTTCTGAAACGGCTTGTTTGATTTGGCTTAAACTTTAAAGAAATGTGTGCTTTGATAAAACTTTTTTTTTATTTTATTGAGTATTAATACAGTCTGCCACACTGAAGAGCATTGGTACTAGGGCTATAGTATAAAACTATGATGCTGTATTATTTTTATTCATTGAATTAGTGAATTTGATTCACAAATTTCTCTTAAGTTTGCACATGCTTATTACTCAATAACCGCTCGTTCGAACGGGCCCAAATTCGGAAGAAAGTTAGGGATTGATAAACAAATGATCAAGTGAGTTTCAATTTCAACAAATTCGACCCACTACGTTCAAAAAATACTTCTGCACTGAAAATCTCGTCACTTCATTTTAGTAAACTTTACAATGGAAAAATAAAAGCTTAATAACTGATAGTGTAACAGGTTAAATATGCAGTGGTAGTTTAATAGGTGATATATACAAATACACTTTCAGATCTCTCTATGCATACATTTGTAGCTCAGAAATCGGAGTTATGAAAATAACTTACAAAAATAGACGGATTTAAGAAGTTTTTATTGCCTACCGTCGATATAATAAATAGAGTTTGTGGTATTTTAATGGCATTGATGAGTTGTTATAAGTGATCTGGATTAAGGTTTAGCTCCTTTAAAAATTTACTTCAAAAACTTTGTAATAGCGCAACATTGCCAGAAAGTATAAAGGACGGCTGATTAGTAAATTTAAATCTATATCATATATATATATATATATATATATATATATATATATATATATATATATATATATATATATATATATATATATATTTATATATATATCATATATCAGAATCATATTTCATGAATAACTAGAGATGGCCAAGGGTAGAAAGCTAGTGATAACTGCCAACTGATCCAGTTCAGGTAGTCGTTATTACCTGAGAGAAGCAATTAATACTGAAGGGGTGCAAAAATGCTGACTTTTGCACCCATGCAAGATAAGGAGACCTCGCTTTGCGAATTTTGTTATTTTAAAATTTTTCTTTATTTAATACAACCGTTAAGGAAACTATACTGACTTACTTGGCAGACATTTTTTAATTTATCTTTATTTATTTTTCCATAAGAAGAATTTCTTTCCTGTTGCTTATATATACTTTATTGGCTATAATGCATTTACTGCCAGATTTTTATTAAGATAGCCTTTGGCCATATATATCTTCTGTTGTTATCCTCAAGGTACCTAGTCATCATTTTTGAAGAATTAACATTCAGTTATTCCTTAGAGATTATTAAATATTACTAACAAAAATTAACATGGTAGGAAAAATTACAGGAAATTGATTGTTTTTTAATGCCAATTGTAAACCTTTTTACATATTGTGAAATCTGGGAAAAGTTAGGAGATATTATTCCTGAAAAGTCAGGATTAAAAGTCAGTAGAATGCTTAAACAAATATTATTATTTGTTTAATTTATTTTTCAATGTTATTATTAACATTAAAATATAGAAAAAAAATGACTCCCGGTAAATAAGTTTCTCACCCTCTGCCGTATCCCAAGCCATAACATTGTATTATGATTTCATCAAAATCTACATGTTCTCATAACTATTCTATGAGACATTTTTTAAGGCTTTAAATATTTCCACAGTGCTTTTCATATATTTATTTATGTATTCTTTAATATATATTCTAGCTCAAGATATTTAATACTCAATTTGTTTTCAGTTATGGCTAATGATGAAGGAAAATGTGAAAGTACTAGTGAATCTGGTTCTTATATAAAGATTCATTCAGTTGAGGATAATTTGTACATTCAAATGGACAATGATAAAGAAACTAAAAATTGGCATTTCATCATAAAAGCGGCAGCTTTAAGAAACGGTACATCACTAGAGGAACAGCAGCTAACGAAAGATTTTGTACCTGTAATTGTTGACAAATGTATCAACTTTGTTTATGCTCATGGTAATATATCTTACTCTAATAATTTAAATTCTATGTATTGAACTTTTTTTTTTGTTGTTTTTTTTTTGGAATATAGGGAAGCCAAAATATACTTATGCTCTTGAATATATAAGGTAATAGAAAAACATTGATGATTTTATATTGTAATTAAAATATTTTAAACTAAACAAATCCTTATTAATTTTATATGAATATATTACAGCATTTTTAGGATATATTATAGTAAGTTCAGTTATATATATATATATTTTAGTCATAAAATATATCAATCTGAAAATAATATAGTTTAGATATATTGTTAATAAGAGCCTATCGTGTTAGTATTGTGAATTTGGATCAATTATTTTTGCTACTTATTTATTTATTTTCAAGCTTACCTTGCATGTATAAAATTCTGCAAAAATCTTATTTCCGTGATGTCTAATTTCTAAATTTATATATATTATTTTTTAAAGTTTTTTTTATCCCATATTTTCATTTATTCTTCATCATATCAATTGATTGAGCTGTCATTTTGAAGATTATCTTCTCCTTTGGGTTGGAATACATACTCCCAAATTTGAGGGAAAAAATTTATGAAAAAAAGAAATGTTATTTTCACTTAAACCAAAGAATTTATGGTGATACACCCACAATTATTGGAAAGATTGCTAAATTCTCCACAAAACTGAAAAAGGATCATCACAATCAAACCATATTTTGCAACGATACAGCCTGTTGTAGTTTTTATACAATTTTGATTTATTATTATGATAGAAACATTGTAATTAACTGAAGAAATGAAAATTAAATCTTTCAACTTATAATACATTGCATTCTCTTATTTCCATATTATTTTTTTCATTTGTTCACTGACCAACATATCCTAATTATTTGCATGGACCAACTGTTCATTAATTATTCTTAGTTTCTTAAATTCTATATTCCTTGACAAAGAGGCCTCCATCTTCAATCGGTGTGGTACTAATCCTCTCCTTTTACTTCTATTTCCTTGATTTAAGTAGTTTGGTCCTATCTTTGGCTTTCTTGTTATGGATTCTTTGAACTCCCAGAAATTATCTTACTTATTGATCTCGTCCTTGGTAAGAACCTAGATTCACATGGTTCTCCTCCTCTTGGTCTTAATACTTCCATTGTGGCAGCGCATTTGGTCTTGCCAAAGTGATGAAGTTTGGCGCCGAATCCATTGTTTGCGGTAAAGAAAGATCCAATAATCCGTGAAGACCCACTTTTCTTGTAGCCTGTAAGGGAAAAACTTTCTTTGAGAGATAGTCACTCCCTTTTATGTTATCGTTCAGATTTTCCAGAAGTTCTTGTAAAGCCTACGAGATGCAGTAGGAATTCATATTGTTTGAGGAGAGCTATCCTTTTGCCTGTTAGTGACAGGAAAATGACAGTCCGAAACAGAGAAAAGCTCTCCAAGTGTGGCAGCACTTACCAAGGGCCATTGATGGACTTAATTATAATAATGGGTACTTATTTAATAGCGGGTAGTGTCCGACTGCTATCTACCAATGTTTATAACCTTAACACTGATAAGCTGTTTGTATTCATATTTATTGTATTATATTCATATTACTATGTCTCCGTATTCATATTTATTGTATTATATTGATATTGTTGAAATTGTAAACAAAAACAAATGTAATAATAAAAAAATACTTTTATTTTACAACATATATATTAAAAAAGACCAAAACATTATAAATATATAATTAAAAAACATTATGAAAACATTGCAATATATATATATCAAAATAAATGAAATAATAAAAATAGATGAAATAATAAAAAAACACTTAAACAGCATATGTACATATAAAAGAAACACTATGAAGAAACGATATAAACAAAATATGAAAAAAAAATTTTAACTTCATTTATTTTGGTAGAGAAAATAGTTTTATGGTATTTAAAATAGCGAGGGGGAGATCCTGTTCTCTATGCGCCCACCGCCACAAAAACTCACATAAATATGAATCAAGTTCCACTGTGTTTTTTATTTCACCACTTAGCTGAGCCCCATAATCGTTCAATGTGTTGAGTATGGACTCCACTTGATGGATCAACAAAATTATACCTGTGTTTCACCTGAAAATGATTGTACTTTGCTTCATTGAGTTGTTTGGTGTTGTATCCTTTCCAACAGTCGGAACAAATGGTGCTTCCCTCTTGCACATTGTTTTTAATGGCTTCTAATAAAGTTGTTGCTTTTCTATTATTGATTTTGACAATATAACACTCGTCTGTTTCTCGTCTGCCAAACATCCATTGCTCAGGTAAGACTCTACCTACATGATTTTTTCTTTTCAAAAAAAGACTCTCGTCTACTTCGACAGCTTTGCCAGGCCCTCCAATTTTTTTATTCAACCTGTATAACATGTCTTGGGCACAAACTTCTCTTAAAAATTTGTTCCATGTTTGGATAGTTTGAGCTGCTCTTTCCCCCACTGTATTGTTTAATTATGGGACCACCCATAAATGAATTTTAAAGCCGTTAAAAAATAAATCCTCGACACCTCTAATCACGTTCCTTTCCTTATAGAAAAGATTTTTTTACAACTGCGAAAGCATCTCCATTTAATCTTCCCGTCGAACTTCATTTAATGATCTTCACAATATTTGACCTTTGCAAATATTCCGGCATCTTGAAAATATTTTATAGCCTCTTCTTCTGAAGACGGTAATTCCCACAATGGGACAACATCCATAATTAAATAAGACTAACTCACAGCTAACACAAGAAACAAAAATAAACAAGGGAATAACTTAGGTTAGATGAGATAAGGGAGGTTATGTGAAATGAGAGTAGATAAGAAGGGAGGTTTTGATGCTACCCGCTATTAAATAAGTACCTAATAATGCTATAGCAAGGAATTATAAGGTGATCAAAATAAATAAAACCGGTAAAAAATATATAGTTACTATAGCATTGTTTTTATTCGTATATAAACCATTATATTTATATCATAATCCATATCAAGATAGCCACTAAACAAATTAATAATTTTTCTTAATTTTTTCCAAAAAAATGAAGCCTTACAAAACAAGAAAATTATTTAATTTTCGTGTTCGTAATAATTATGTAATTATTAGTTCGTGGAAAAAAAAAATAGAAACAGCTGCATTGTTGATTTTTTTTAAATTTTGTTTTGTGGATCAACATCTCCTTTTAGTATTCTTATGATTAAGCTTTGTAAGTTTATAAGATATTTGAACTGTATTCCTTCTTAAGTAGTTACTATAAATATGATCAACTGATGATACTTGAAAGGGGAAAACAATATTCTTTTTCTTGATTATATTTTTTCAAACTGCCATTATAGTCTGTGGTACAGACCCCTTTTTATCAAATTATTAACATCTGGCTGAAACTTCATTAATAGCTTCATCTCATCTTAACCTACAAATATTTTATTTACAAACATTTTCAGAATTGGGTTGTTTTCAATCTGGAGGTTGGCAAACTTTGTTTATTTAATTAGGTACTATAAACATGTAAATATCCATTTGCTTTCCACTTAAATCGTAAGACAAATGGGGCACAAAGCCGAGAAAAAAGGTGGCCTTCATAAATATTGACCCATTTTGTGTGGCCTGCATCCCCAAATTTTCAAAATAACAAGGTTATATAGGCTAGGGCAAATGATCCAATGTTTTTGTAGCCCGCCTTTCTTATCGATTTCGTAGTCATATTATCTTACAATACAAGTGAAAAGCATATGGGCATTTACAAGTTTTTAATACCTAAATAAATAGACAAAGTTTGCCTACCTCTAGATTAAAAATGCCCCAATTCCGAGAATTAGGGTAAATAAAATATTTGTAGGTTACGATGAGATGAAGCTATTTACAAAGTTTCAGACGGATGTTAATAATTTGATAAAAAGGGATCTGTACTACAGACTATTACAACATATAAAAATAATTAATTATTTTGATTTTACAGGTAGTATGTCTGAAGGTATTTATAGGCGAAGTGGTACCAATTCGAAGGTTACTTCACTTTTGAGTTTGCTTAGGAAAGATGCTTGGGAAGTACAATTATCGAGAAAAGAGTACACAGAATATGATGTTTCAAGTGTTTTAAAAAGATTTTTTAGAGATCTTCCGGAACCTCTTCTTACAAATACTTTGCATAAATATTTTTGCAATGCTGCAGGTTTGTTCTTTTTGTATTTTGTATCTTATAACTATATCATTTTGCTATTTTTTTTATTTACTTTTTTTTGTCAATTTTAGGAGCAAAATGTACAAAAGCTGAAAAGGAAAGTATGTATAAAAGTTTTCTTGATAAGCTGCCACAAATCAGTTATGTTACACTCAGAAGACTGATTGGACATCTTTATTTCGTTCATTGTCAATCAGATAAAAACAAAATGCCAGTAGGAAATTTAGCTGCCATCTGGGCTCCTACTCTTATGCACGTTGAAGTAATATTTGTCTCTTTTTTTAAAATCCTTATTCTTTTTTGAAAATTTAATTTTTATTTAATCTATTTTGATCATCTATAATTATTTGATGTCTCTTGATTATTAACCAAGTAATATGATTGGGAAATGGTTAATTTTCCCTTAATCTTTTATTTAATTATTAGGTTCTTTTGTTTCTGTTGCATATGCCATCAAATTAATAAATGTACTGAAGTTAACCTAAGTTAGGGTTAGGAATAAATTATTTACTAGGCGCTAACTAATCTAATTATCCATTTTCATTTCATTCAAAAATCTACCCCGCCTTGAATTTTTTTATTACCTTACCCTCTACTTTGCCATTTCTGGCGAGGGGGGGGGGGAGAGAAGAAAGTTGGTTGTGTAAAACCAAACCTATTCTAACCAGAGTGGGATGGTCAAGATTCATTACCTGGGTTTACCACAAAATTAATTTCAATTTTTCCAGGCTGGATTCGAATCGGAGTAACTAGACTGGAGTATGTTAAAGTTTACACTTCATGATACTGGGCCAGCACAACCTCTGTCCTGACTTTTTTTTTTTGTGCTCGCCTTTTCAGCTATAAGGAATTTTTCCCGGGTCAGGAGATTAATATCAGGGAGTTAAAAGCTTCCGTTTCACATGTTACTACAGGGAGGTGAACTCTCTCAGGTTGTTAGGCAATGCTTGTTTTGCCCATGTGTTAGCCCACTCAGTCACCCTACTGCATTGAAGGTCCTTTCGGCACTGGGATTTGAACTTGTAGTCTTCAGTTTATTAGATATCTGTTCCAAATCTATCTCCCCAAATAACTGTCCTTGAATCTTCAACATATGTATAGTTAGACAAACAAGAAGTTACACTACATCACTTAAGATAACCTCGAGTCTTGCAGGACTGGTTGGAATCCAGCCCAGGCGGGTTGAAATTTATTTTATGGTTGATCCACAATTAAAGACAAGATTCACCCGCTCTGGTTAGGATCCTTTGGTTATACATGTAGGATGAAAACCTTCTCTTCATTTAGAAACTCTTCACATATTTGAATTACCTTGACCACTCTAAAATCACTTCTCACTTATTCTCCAGGAGTCTCATGGTAATTCTAAAATTTTTTTGGGGAACTAAATCAGTCAATTGCTCTGGAATGAAGGTTCCAGAATATTATATTATCCTTCCATATTGGCTGTTTCTTGGACAATATATCTCCTGTGTGCAATTAATAAAAAATTTAATGAATTATTGATCAACCAACACACTTTTATTTTTGAAAAAAGAAAAAATTTCTTACTATTAAAATTATGATATACTTTTTTTTTCAAGCTTCCTTGATGCCATTTTTCATTTAAGAGGTAAGTTTTTTTTTTTTTTAAGTATGGATGTAATATAGTTTCCTCTGTTTTATTTTTGCACTAGAAATTATGAAAGATTGAATTATGAATTTAACATGACATTAATTCATAATATTCAGTTAAGAATTTTTTTTGTGCTAAAATTATAATAATCTTGAAAATTAGTACATAATTGATTATAAGGAACACTAGCAGATCCAGGATTTAATTTTGGGGGGGGATCTTCAGCCCGAAAGCTTTTTTTTTTCATAAAAATAACGATAATTACTTTGGAAAATAAGAAAGAAACTAACTACCTATATGAACTGTTGTTTAAGTGATTCCTAAAGCCCTTTTAAATGTAATTACATGAATAATTATATTCTAAGAGATCATTTTTTAATATTTTTTTCGATAAAATATGGTTATATTTTACCATTTTGGGGGAGCTTCAGCCCGAAAGCCCCTCTCCCCCGTAGATCCGCCCGTGATAAGGAATACTATAGATGTGAAATGTTCAAATATCATGTATGTTTTTCAAAAAATTTTGAGTCTTTATAAAATATGTATATCTTCTATTTTTTATCATGTTCTCATTCTATTATTTTAAATTTCTAGGGTAAAGAAGGTATAGAATGGACAAAAAAAGAATGTGAAGTGATTACAGATCTTATCCTTAACTACAAATCTGTTTTCCAAGTAGAAGATGAAGAAGCTAAAAGAGAGAAACGTATCATGGAAGTATTGGAAAAAGTCCATGAGTCTCCGAATACTTTACCCATTCCAAAACCATCTGGGGATTTTAAGATATCCATTTATATTGGCTCTCGTAGGGGAGAAGCCATTACTATTCCTGTAAGTGCTCGTTTATTTAACATATTTATCATAATGTTTTTAAAGAATAATTAAGTATTTTTTGACTTAGTATTTAATCTTTTCCTGTTTATTCTATTGAATAACCATCAATTATTATAATGATAATCATAATAATCAATTATTATACTAATGTATAATAAACTAAATGGTTATGTTATGTACAAACTGCAGCAGAGACCTGCTTATCTGTCCTAGTCGGGACCAGCATTAAGCAGGAGAGCCAATTAATCTGGAGTGTTCAAAGAAAAACTCCAATTTCAGAAAAAAGTAGCTGGAGGATGTAGTCAATAATGGAAAACTTGATCTATGCCAGATGTGTTATGAAGCCGGAATTTTCATATAGAAAATACAAGTTCAAAAAAATTGTTTTCACATCTCTGTAACAATTTATGAATGCCATGCCAGAAAAACAGTCGCTCTTTTGTGGTGAACCAGTCATTAAGACATTTCATGTTAATTCATTAGAAGTCAAGAACTGCTGAGCAAGTGCATGCTCCATCGATGCAAATAGATAGTAGTCGGACGGAGCCAAGTCTGATGAGTAAGCTGCTGCATGGGCTAATATTCCCCAACTGAACTTCTCAGTCATTTTCTTTATTAGTTTTGCTGTATGTGACAGTTCCTCATCATGAAACAAAATCACTTTGTGTTGTCTTTATTAATATTCTGATTGTTTTTCATACATTAGTCGATTCAAATAGATTATTTTTTGTTAATATTGTTCAGTATTTACCATGTTTTAACAGCTCAGAATAGATCACACCCTTCTGATCCCATTAAACTCAGAGCATTCATTGTCTTCTTTTCATATCATCTTGACCTTACAATAATTTGTTGATGGTTTGCCTGAAATTACCAATGATCTTTGATGCTTAGGATTCTCAAAATACAACTGCTTTTAATTATTTTTAACTAGTCGATTGAAAAAAGACTTTGTTTTGTTACTGGCTAGAGTATTTTGGAGGTGGTTTTCCCAGTTTTTCCGCTATCTTTCATTCATTTCATGTGGAAGTCATTCTCCCATGTTCCATGTTTTTCCCGTGACTTTCAAATTTATGGAGGCAGCGCCATCCTCATGCTTGCAATATGCTGTCTTCAAACTTTTTCAGTCGTCTTCTCCTTTCTTCTTTCCTCACTTCCAAATCGCCACTTATGAATTTTTTAAAACACTCAAAGCACCGTGATTTACCATGAGTATGCTCAGGATAAGCTTTGACAACCATTGGATGCAATTCTGCAGCAATTTTCTTGAAATGGTAACAGAAAACTAATTCTATTCGCTGATCATAACATGTTCAAAACTATTAGAACAATGCTGTTATACTTGTATTGTTGTGAGTTGAAAATCTTTTCCAGCTGTTGAAGAAACAAAATGGCTCCAATAATGTGTTTTAATGGTAACTACATTAACAACTAGAGCAATCTGTGGACAAATACTGGTTTCTTATTTACGCGTCTAGTATATTTTCTTTATTATTTTGAACCAAGCATTCATTTTATGTATGGTAATTAATTATTTTAATTTAATGTGTTATAACATCTATAACTTTTACTTTCACTTTCCCTTATATCAAATAAACCCAAAATATTTCTACCTAAGGTAGAGTGGTAAGTGAAATTGTTTAGATTTTTTTTTTTCATTTATTGCTTCCTTATGCCACAAAATATTAAGAAATGAAAGTTTATCATATTTAAATTTTAGTTTGAATTCGTGATTGGTGATAAAAACCATGACTTTTTTTTTTACTTTTAAAGAATTTTCATTGGGGACAATTTGAATATTTTGCATTATAAAGCCTATTAATATTTTTTTCTTGTTATTGGAGATAGTTGTGATGTTCATCTGTATATTAGTACACAATATGTGAGACCTTCTTTTACGGTTTTGTAAATGTTTTACAGGTTGGACCTGGAGTTGACAGCGGAAAAATCTGTAGCTTACTAGCGTATAAGACTGATTTCGCTCCACATGAGCTTTGTTTGTCTGAATGTGTTCTTGGAGGAGTGCTTAGCAGGCCACTACATCACTCGGAGATGGTTCTTGAAACTGTTCTCAAATGGGCTTATTGGGATTCTTCAGATTCTAAAGACAATTACTTACTTCTGGGAAATAATACTATTTACAAAGAAATAATGCCTTTAGTAAGCTCTTTCTCATTTTTTTAATGTGAATTTATCTATTATTATTAACATTTTCATTAAAACGTGTTAAAATTAAAAATTCAGCACTGAATTGAAATATTATAGATCTACATTATTTTTATACTTATTGTTTCTAATTTAGTTTACTTTTTAATTTCAGACTAAACCTCCTATATCAAAGTCTGGTGAGCTCCGTTTCGCTGACAAAAAAAGCAAATCATTCAAGACTTTCATTTTTGAATTTAGTCAAGCAAAACTAAGTTACTATAAAGATAAAGCTGTAAGTTTTTTTTTTTTTTTTTCTATACCAATAGTTTATTAAATTAATTTCAGTTTTTTACTTCATATGTCTTTACTTTAACCTACCTATATATGAAATAATAGAAAAGGAAAGTATTCCGATTGCAACTATGGTATGAGCTTATACTCCACCATAATTTAAGTAATCAATAAAAATATTAAAAATAAAATAATAATGAAAATTATAACACCATTAATCAAGCCGTAAGAAGTAATTAAATTACCAAAAACTTAATTCGGTGAATAATTGATAGTTCCGAAATTGTACCCTGTCCAAACTACTATGCTTTACCCTGGATCTTGGTGCAACTTTTTATGCACTATTCTAATTTTAGGACTGTTATCCACTAGGTTAACAGTTTGATTAGTTTTTATCACTTATATTTCTTCTCCCATTTTTATTTTGATTTACCAAATTACAAATTATGAGGATTTGCATATTACAAATTAAAAAATGGCCTCATTTAATTTTTTTATTTATTTTTATCATTTACTTACATTTTAGTTAATGACTCTCCCTCTGAGTCATATAAAAATAAATTTTCATAGTTTATTGAAATTATTTAAAATAAATTATTAAAACAGAAAATATATGTTTGCTTCGTATAATAAGCAAAGTAAATGAGTAAAATTATAGTAAATTTTATTTATTTATATTTGATATTATTGCTTCTATACCAGATCTTTCTAGATGTTCTTAGTTACATCATTGTATTTTTTTTAGATGTTTTTATTTTTGGTTGTGTTGAGTCCTCAATGTTTTAGGTATGGCACATATTTTTTATTTTCAATTACCTAGTTCTGCCATAAATACTGTTACAAAAGTTGAACTTTGTTTACATCCTTGGGTATAATTTAGATAATCCTTACCTCTATCAGGTTATTTTCTTTACATGTCAGGATAATAATCCCAATTGGTTTGTATTTTTCTTTCGCTCAGTTAACATGGAGTGGGATGATAAAGAAAATCAAATAGCTGTGATCACCTCACACAAAGTTTGAAAATGTAGGTCAGAGATTTTCAACACTTAGTAATCTTTGGGTAACAGCTGTATGTTCGTATTCCGTATTATAAATAGATATAATGAGATCCTATCTGTATGTGACAGACCTCGACACAGGTCTGTCTTCGCACTGCGAAAACGGTAAATGCAGTGACAGCAGTAGCTGCTCCAATCAGAAGAAATCTCATTCGAAAGCAACAAATCATGTCTCCGAAAATAGGAATCTCTGTCAGATCAATGTCTCACGCTCTAAAAAGTGGCCTTAGGCTGGCTGCGTTTCGAGGAATGACAGACAAAGACTAACCACTTCCCTAAAAAAAATTGGAGTAGATAGATGCAACGTCCTCCTTGGCCATTTCACCAATGGTCTTCATTGAAAGATTTTGTTTAGTGATAAGAAAATTTTTACAATTGAAGAAAAATTTAATCCCCATAATGATTGTATGTACGCATACTGTTCTAAAGAAGCCCAGGAAGTCATCACCCTTTCTTAGTAATGGTTTGGTGAAGAGTTTGCTTTGATAGCACTACAAAGCTCCATTTTTGTGAAAAAGGAGTTAAAACAGCCGCTAAAAACTATCAGGACGATATTTTGGAACCTGTTATCCAGCCTCTAAATGATATTCTGTTTGCTGGAAGTCTTTGGGTTTTCCAGCAGGATTCCACTCCAGCTCACAAGGCCTGTTCAACTCAGTAGTGACTGCGAAAGAACATTCCAGAATTCATCTCTGCCTCGGATTGGACCTCAGGAAGCCCTGATCTCAACCCACTAGATTATCGGCGGCTTTGGACCGAACTGGAGAGAATGGCATGCCACAGATCACACCCTAACTTGGAAAGCCTCAAACAATCTCTGGTCTGAGCGCTTTCCTCAAGAAGTGCTGTGTGCTGCTATTGATGAGTGACCACGGAGATTAAATGCCTGTGTCAAGGCAAAAGGTGGACATTCTGAGTAATTTCTTTTTTACTTTCACTTTCCTATATATGAAATATATACTAAGGCAAAGTATTGCGATCGTGAAAATTTTTGATTCTGAGTTTTCAACGGAAATACATGTTTTAAGGTCCCCTGAGTTGAAATAACCAAGTTCTGCTAAATGGTCTATGTGTTTATATGCTTGGGATATTACAGCAACTTTTTTGTCAAAATCGGATAACCGGAAGTGGCACTTTATATTATAGACTAAACAAATTTTTACGATTTTCTCGAAAGATGGAAGGGATAGGTGAGGGGATACTCCCCTCATATAATAATAATAATAATAAAAAAAAATTGTTTCATTTCTTGTTATTTTATATTTATGACTTCTTTATAGTGCTTCACAATATTATATTTAGCTCATTATAAATTTAGTAAAACATAAGTGACTTTCTTCAAGGTGCAAAAGTTTTTTAAGATTTTAATTAATTATCAGGGGCTTTGTTTGTTTTTATAATCTTTTTTTTAATAAATATATTCATTGAAATTAACTTTATTAATTAAAAATACAATTAAATGTGAATTGCTATATTGACTTGGAGAGAATTATAGATATGCTACCCATTGGTAAAAATAAACCTGTACCACTACAACCCACGGAGGGTCTTAGGTTATGTACTTTGTAAAGAAGTACTGTTTCTTGGTCAACGGATATGTAAGGAGGTGATTTGACCAAGATCACGCTCAACCACCAGATTTTCCCCCTTCATCAATTATTTAATTAAGGGTGCCCACTTTATAGAGCCTGGGTGTGACCCAGGAGAGTCTCCCAACCCTAGGGTCAATCCACGGCTAATGAAGCAAAATAAATAATTTATCTGCCATCATCCGGACTCAAACCTGAGATCTTAAGCATTCGAAGTGAGCATCCTACCATTGAGCTATCCCACTTCCTACCCATTGGTAACACTCCAATAATAATTAATTTAAATCTGTTTTAGTGTTCTATAAAATTATGTGAATGGAACATTGAAGAAATAATATGGTACATTGGTCATGAACCTAAAAGAAATCCACAATCAAGGTATGTATAAGTAATTTACACTATAATTTTAATATACATATCGTAGTTTACATTTCAGGAATCACATCTTCAGATATATTTTTTTTTTTTATACAGTAACACTTCTACACAGTGAACATCTATAGGAAATTCTGTCTATGTCAAAACACAGTACTACTCAATTTAAAAATAAATTTCAAACTAAATACCCAGATGATAGTGTGACAGAAAAAATGGAAAGATATGGTCCATGATACAGACTCCTTTTTATCAAATTATTAACATCCGCCTAAAACTTTTTGAATGGTTTCATATTATGGTAACATACAATTTATTTCAGAAAAGAGGCGTTTTCTTAATAAATCAATTAATTTAATTAGATATTAAAAACTCATAAACACCCATTTGCTCTCTACTTGAATCGAAAGATAATTTAATCACAAAAAAAAAAAAAAATGGCCTACAAAAATATTGTAGAAAAAATATTTATTACCTCCTTATATTGACAAGTTGGGAGTAGTGGTCATGCTTAATAGTCTAATATTTTTGTAGGCCACCTTGTTATTGATTTTGTGATCAAATTGTCTTACAATTGAAGTGGAAATCAAATGGGTGTTCATGAGTTTTTATTACGTAATTAAATTGACAAAGTTTGCTGATCTCCAGATTGAAAACGCCTCTGAATTTTAGTAAATAAAAAAGTTGTAGGTTACGATGAGTTCTTTCTAGGTTCTGAGTTCTTCAACAAGTTTTATAACTTCATAAAAAGGGGTCTGTACCGCGGACTAATATTTCTTGGATAAAAGTTTTAAAGCTGGAAACAATAACATAACCTTATAAATATCAGATATCCAATGGTATGAGCTAGGTGCTGGCAGGTCCCGGCTTTGCTGTGTCTCCTAACAAAATTAATTTGGTGATAAATCCTCAAAAATTCATTTCACTGAGTACAATTGACCTGATACGAGCTTTCTGGGTGTTGACTTGAATTGGGGTTTTCAATAACAAAATAATGTGAATCATAATATTCTATTCTTATTATAGTTAATTTTTTAACTTTAAATAGTTAACTTTTAAGATTTTTTTGTTGAAATATATTTCATTGTTTATTTTGTTCTTTAGATGGGCAATTACATTTATAGACAAAAAGGATCCTGTAAAAAGGTAAGATGTAATGGTTTTTCTATTATATTTAGTTCTTTATTTATTGGTATTGAGTAATTTGTCAATACTATTGTAATTATTTACTGAAGTATATATTGTAACTTTGAGTAAAATAAATTTCAATACTTTTAATTAATAAATTTATACACAACGTGTTTGTCATGAAACAAATATGTTTATTTGCTATGTTATGCCAAAAAAACAAAGTCAACCTATTGAAATCGATAATTTATTCATCAGTGACTTCCTGAAGAAATACCTTGACTTTCTTATAAAGAATGAAATAACATTACCTCTCACATATATTTTTATGAACTTCACTAGTATACATTTTTTCTGCATAATTTGTATGTAAGTAAGTAAAAGAAGTAAAATCACAGAGATGGACGTATAGTCTGAAATGAAATGCCAGCCTAAAAAAGTGAAAAGAAGTAAAAAAGGGTTTATTATGCATCTTGAATTAAAAAAAAAAATTAAATATTGTCATAAAATTGCTTGTTTAATTATTACCAGCTTTAAATATGGAAACACTGCTTTTCTAGTGCAGTCTGTAGAAAGTTATGGTTTCACGTTCGCATTTAATAATTTCAACAATGATTATAATAATTCTTTTATCCTGAGGGCCAGTAGTTTTCCAAATTCTTGTCTGTCATGTTGCGGCCAGTAGAGCTTGTGTTTAAATTAAAATCATACCTTGGTCATTCACTGAATTACTAGCATGTTCGCAATTGTTAAAACTAATTAAGATAAATGTATCATACTAAAAAAGCTGTAATGGTAGAAAATTTCCATAACTTATTTTAACTTGTCATTCCTTATCCTCCTTTTCTTTCTTTTTTCCTCCATTGATCTTTGTACTATCTTTTTGGAACCACAGCTTTTCTAGACATAGATGGCTGGTGGAATCTTCCTCCAATTTCATCTTCTTGAGGAGACATTTTGGTTGAAAATAGATTGTGATATCTGTTATTAATTTCAGTTCATTCATTATCAGTTTTATGTAAACTTTAACTCATTTCTTTTAAAAATTGATGAAGAGTTGAGGTTCTTTCATTCCAGACTTTGAAGCTCGTTATGTTTTCTTGTTTGTTTCCCAAGGAAACAAGTTTCTTTCCTGGTTCAACTAATAGATATTGTTATTACTAATGTATGCTACATCATGGGTCATAGTTTAAAGCCAGTTAGCAGAGTCCTTCCTTGTCCACAATTTTCTGTCATTTCACGTTTTTAATATTCATTTTAATGTTTTTGTTTTTTTTACTTTGGATTGCAGGACCAAAGAATGTCCTTATTTCGGTAATACAATTGCTGGAAGCTCGAAAGAAGAACATTTGCAGTGGATGGCTGCAATGTTGGTTGGACAGTATCACCATTCTGATTTGCTATTAAATCCATTATTAATTTAAAAACATATAACTATATTTTTATTATTGTAATTATTTTACTGTAAATTATTATAAATTATTGTAATTATTTTTCTTGCAAATCAGTTTTATGTAGTAACTAACTTTTGTACTGTAGCTTTTAATTTTTATCATTGTTTTAATAATTATGATATTTTCAGTTTAAATTATTGTTTTTATATGTTCGGTTTTATTTGTGTGAATAAGTATGGCTTTCAGGGGTATGAGCTTTATCTCATAAAGGCATGGAAATGAATTTAAAAAAAAAAATAGTTGAACTTTTTTATGTGTTTTAAATTGTCTTATTTTTTTTTTTAAATTTTCAAGTTTCAACTATAAATGTGATTGGTTCCTAAATCTTGCCTTTTAATTGTTAAATATTAATCTGTGAAAGAATTAGAACAATATATATCAGTATTATAGTCTTTATTTTTAGGAGATACAAATTTATTCAGATTTTTATTATTATTTTTTTCAATGATTTGCCTAGTCATTTTGACTTCCATTGAATGGATTTTAGATTTCATTAACTTCAGATTATTTCTAAATTATATTACTTTATTTTATGAAATTAGGGTTATAGTAACCCTAGCAATATGATATGATCACGTTTTGTTTGTTTTATTTTAGCATAATTTTTATACTGGTTTTATTTTAAATTGTTAATTTTATATATTTTAGTTACCAAAGTTAGTATTTATCCTATTTTAAGCAATATATATATGTATATTATATTTTATGCATTTTTAATGTTTTGTACTTACCCTATTAATTTGGATAAGTAATTCTAATATGTACTTCAGGAAATAGAAATGTGTGATAATAATGAATTTTAATAAAACCTATAATATTATGTAGATATTGAGTTACCATTAAATTATTTGCATTTAACTAGTTCATTTCTTCCTGTGACTAACATCAACCCCAAAGCCTTCTAAAGAGGGGACATTACATAATAAATTCAAAATACCATAAATATTACTGCTAACCATGCTTATTGTGGTAACAGAGCATTCATGCTTAGGGTAATTCTATGATAAATCAATTACTGCCCATGTGGCAATTTTATTGCTTTAAAAATAGACAAATCTCTAATCAAAGTCCATCATGCCATTATCAAGTAATAGCCAATCCAGGATTTAATCTTTTAACAGGAGAATAAAATTTTGTTCAGCTCGTTTCACAATGGGGACTTTTTTACTTCTTATCATATCATCACATCTAAAGTAATAAAAGGAAATAATTTTTAATTTTATTTATTTCAACAAAATATTTTGTAATATATATAAATCAAATAACCTCAATGCAGAAAAAAATAATTGAACAAATTTAATTATTAATTATATACTTGATTATTAGCCTGTTAACCAGGAAAAACATGAGACTGATAGCGAAAATGTAAACAATATGCTCGCATATAACCACGCTAGGATTTAATATATAAGAACTATGTAAAACTTAATGAGTTCAAAATATTATGGCAAATTTCCGTGTTAAGAATTTTGTCATGCTCATTGCAGTAGCAGTTCATAAGAAATATTTTGTTATATCCAGTTAACAGGTTAATTTGGGGGCTAACGATGGTGGTCCGGGGATGGTGTTGCTTCATAGCAACAGGGGGAGGGGTCCTCTGTTAAATTTTTAAACGTTACTGATCGAAAATTTTACATCATTTGAAGCTGTGAATTTACATCAATAAAACTTCAGTTTTGGAAAATAATAAATAACAGTTTTAGAGAAAAAAAATTATATAATTTCTTAACACATGCTTATCTAAATTTCACAGGTAAAATAGATTTATTAATCCATCATTCAGGAAGAATTGTCTCACTCAATTGTATTTCTTTATTCAAATATTGATGTATTTTAAACAAAGGAACAAAAATGATATTTTTTTTATAATCCTACATATGAAAAAAAAGTTTAATATATTTTCTAGATCACTGGATATTGTGCAATATAGATAATTTAACTTTTTAGAAGCGGAGAATTTCATGAAGCTCTTCACCCTTGAATATACTAGTGTTTTGTTCTATTTCTTTAATTTAATTATAAGATATTTTTATGGGTTATTCACTGTTAGACAATATTACTATAACATTCACTTAACCAGTTAAGGATTAAGTTCAATTAATTTAATATCTTACATTCTTCATATGCTCTTCCAATTTCACTTTTTCCTTGCTTCAACGATACTGATTTTTTTTCCCTTTTCTTAAAACTGTTATTGTATTTCCTAATTTTTTCCAATAATCTTCTAAATATGTTTATTGGAAACTCCTTATTTTCTAATAGTTTTCAATTTTTCTTGTTTATACCAAATCAATTTATCCAATTTGTTATTGTGTGATGCTATAGAAAAGAATCTCAAAAAGTTAAATTATTTATCCAATTATAACATTTCAGTCCATTTTCATCAATGATACATAAACAAGACACAAAACAATAATGAGCCATAGTGGCAAATCAAAACTAGACTTTAATTTTTTTAAAATTACTAATACCAATTTAAATAAGATAATAACTCATTACCAATAGAAAATAAAGTGAACTTCATTAATTTATGATAAAGTAATCTGAATGATACTTTTATTTTATAAAAACAGTTAAATTTTCTATTTAAATAAAAAAAAAATATTTTCTTAAGAACATTCCGTAATGTATTAACTAATGAATGAATGATGATGATTTAACTCTTATCAATGATCATTGTCAGCAGTTTCTTTATTACTTTTAAATTGATCAGCATTTGTAGATATTGACAGAACGTAACATATCACATAACAATCAATGTCAGGACTTTCTCATTTATTATTAGCATTGCTTTAAAATCAAAATGAACTTTTGAATGTGAACAATTTCATGAATATAGAGGTGCCAGTTTTAATTACTTCTATTACAGTCAGTTTTTTCTCGTCTAAAAGAATATATATATATAGTTTATTTTTTAGCCAATGTTTTTAATAAATGTTTGTATAACCTGTTCTTATATTCAATCACAGATATATTAATAGAAAATTAATCTTACAGGTATAGTCTAAAGGTTAAACAATTAAAATATATAAATAAATAAAAAAATTAAAGGTCCTGCAAACATACATTCAATTATTTAGTATTTTAACATATTTCTGATTTTGAAACTCAGATTGCAGATGAAAAAAATCTTGTTGTTTGTGATCTCTGAAGTAACAATTTATAATGTTTCAAAACAAAAATTTAAATTTAATATAATTACTTAAAATTGAATATTTTCTAAAGCCCTGTCATTATTGTCATGTAACTGCTTATTTATGAAGAGTTGAAAACAAATAAAAAGCAGTAAGTCTGTACTTGACCCTTGCAGTTTAATCAGTTGCAGATACAGCATACAAAAAAAAAGTTTTTGAAGTTTATTTTTGCATTTCTTGCAGAAGAATAAATAAATTAAAAAAAAAAGATAACTTGTGGCAAAACTTCAGGTTGATCATAAAGCCTATGTATAAGAAACGCATAGATCTGCATTAAGTTATCAGAACACATGTTTTACAAATGCTGATGGTGATTTTTTTTTTTAAATATTTTATGATGATGTTTTTCTGTATAAAGGCAGATAGAAAATATAATCTCCTATTGACTGGTTTATGCTGATTTGGTAATGACATTATGTTGACTTCCCTGTTTTTTGGCTTGTTTGGTAATTTTTTTTTTCTATATTAAGAAATCACTGAGATATAATATTTTTTAAATTTCAATTGATATGTATATTTGTGCGTGTGTGTGTTTTTTATCTCTTTTTTTTTTATCACTTTTATACTGTTGAATCTCTTTGTATCGAATTTCCATACATCGAAAATCTCTAGGTACCAAACTATTTCAGGAACTTTGAATTCTAACCAGAAAAAAATAATCTGTTATTATTTTTAATTCTATTTCTTTATAGATCATTTCAAAATTTCAGCCACATTTGGGCATAAATGTTTTTGAAGAAAAATGAGAGAAATAGCGTGCTTTTCTACTTAGCAATCTTTGTAGTTGTCTTAGCAAATTGCAAATGTGTGCATGCATAATCATCAAGATAACCACAGATATGTCATTTTGTTTTATGTCAAATTTTATTTTTAAAATTTGTATTCCAATAAAAATATTCGAATAAAAGTAGTTTCATGAAAACAAATAAATATATATTATTTTTTTCTAAAAACAATGGGTTTTCAACCTTAGTCTTTATGGGACCTATAAATTTTCTATGGCCTCCTCATATTTTTAATGGACCACCGATTATTCGCAACCTTAGTCCCTGAACTTAAGAATTTTATAGAGAGTGTGAACTCTAGGAGTGAGGATATAGCCTTTCATGGACACAAGAGCTTAGTCAGCTTTTCAAACAGAGTTAATTTAAATTACTATTAAACTTCATTCGGTGTTCTGAGTTAGATTAAAATTGACTCCTTTATTGGAAAACTAATGCACCTGGAAGTGAGGTGGTAAATGAATATCTAAAGGGTTTTAATAAAATAATTATCCTTTAAATCGAATGTGGAAATCTAGATCTAGAAAAAAAAGCAGGAGAAATAATCTTAAAACAGTGTTGTTCCTGGGCTCAAAACAGAACAAAATTACCCTTTTCACCCTATTTCGTGTAACTTTTAAAATTTTCTAGGTAGTGAGTATCAATACCAATGGAAATCTTAGAATCGTCTGTCAGCTGATCAATATTTTTTGTTTATCTGACTATCAAGGTTAACCCTCATGTCCTTTCTTGAAAGTCCTAGTTTTAGGTTTCACTCATTCGGTAGTTCACACTGTACTGTACTGCCTAAATATATTAGTACGTCTGTTTTGTGACTGTACAATGAGTGAGAAAAAAAAAAATTCATAATTTTTTTTGGGTTATATAATTCAATTTTTTATCATAAAAGGAATAAGTATGCTATCAAAAGTATGGATTATAAGAATAAATTATGTCACTGCTTTCTGTTATGATTTCACCATTTATATAGAACAAAAAATATTAGATGAAATTGTCATTAAAAAGACTTTTACTGTACATTTATAAGAATGGATAATAATTGAATAGGAAAGAACATATTTCACTGTGCAAAGAAAAACCTTAATGTAGTTATTAAAACATTTGAAATTTTTGGATGGGATTCAAAAAATTAATATCTTTTAAGTTTATTAAAATGGATGAAGCAGCGTTAAAATTTAATGTCCTAAAAAATCACCTTGATACTTCTTTGACCCTAAAAAATAACAGTAATTGTGTTATGCATGAAACATTGCAATAGTTCTATGTATTAAATATTTTCAAGAATCCTGCATGTTCGAGATATATAGCGGTTTAACTGTACTTTAAAAAAAATAAATAATGAATCAATTATAGATTAAAACAGTACTACTAAATGAATCCTCAAAAAACAAATAAAATACAATTTTAATTAAATGTCACTATGAAAAACTTATCGTAACATATTGGCCTTTCCAATTTGACCATTTTTAAACAAATTGAATAAGTGAGCACCATAGTATAACATTAATCTATTGGAATTTTTATGTCTATTGGAACATTAATCTATTGGAAGTTTTAAGTCTTATTTAAAAATAAATAAATAAAAGTTTTATACTTTCTTTAAGACATTCAAATTATCAAAATGGTGAAAACATTTTCTAAAAATAACTTTATTAATAGAATGTTTTAAAACCAGCAGTATTAAAATTATGTTATTTTAAGTATAGACAAAATGTATTTATTTTATGCCTATTACTTTGAAAATATCAGTAATAATTCAAAAGAATCACTTTATTCAAAAATATCTATAATTTATTTTAATATTTGTCATTGTTGAACAAGACACTACATAAATAAACTTTAATGGTCATTAGAGAAAAAAGGACACTTTAGGTGCAGTCTATGGGAGAAACTTTTAAACAAAGAAATATGATGTTATATGTTGTATATTATATATTTAGTTTATTAAGTAATTATAAATAAGATAATGATTAATTTTCTTATAAATTCATTTTTTCTTTCTGTAAAATTTTAATAATATACCTTTAATGTATTGGCAACTTTTGCTGTAATATACACCAGAGTAGTTTAAACAGTAAACTATAATTTATCATTAAACTGTGGTGTTAGTTTATAATATTTATTACAAATGTGTAAATTGGACTGGTGAAATATCAAAAAAATGTTTTTATAATGAAATTTAGTTAAATTTGGTAAGAAATTATAGTTTTTTTTATTTTTTATTTACAGTGTTTAAATTTTAATATCTTGATTTATTATTATCAAAATTTTAATATTCCGTTGATGTATAATGACCTACCTAATAAAAAATATAAATTACTTTTTGATTGTTTTTCAAAATTATTAATATTATATATTATATTAATTTGAATTAGATCCAATTAATAGAAAAAATAGAAAAACATCTTTTTCAAAATTACATTTTGAAAATTATTAATCATTCCAGATTCTTGTTAAATATATTATATAATAACTTGTTTGAACAAGAATATATAATTTCCTTTAGGAATTTATCCTAGAATATTCCTACATCAAGTATTTCTTAAAATTAAAAAAAATTATTTATTTATCTAACCACAGAAAGTTTCTGAAGTAAGTCAGAACTTATTCTCTCCAGCCAATTTACATTTAGCTGAATATATTTATCTTTAATACATAAAATTAACAATAAATTATGACAAAATGAAAATTTGCAAAACTAATTTTATTTTGTTTATTTCATTTACAGTTGGCATTGCTACGGCTGAATATGGTAAGAATTAACTTACGCAATACGTCTATAATCATGTCAGGGATAAAAATATATAATTTTTTTATTAGATCTATCTAAAAATGTTGATTTTTTAAATTTTTGTAAATTTAGAGTAAAAGCACCAGTAGGTGACAGTGTACCAATACCTAACAAATGGAAATAATACGATTTCAGGACCTCCCAGACCTCTATCTCATGAATCTGTGGCTTCTATATTTTCTCCTCATATATTTGTATGCTTTGCTTTGGAACTGTTACAAAAATAATGGATGGCATATTAGAAAGTTCCCTCATGGTCCACTTAGTAGACCACTTATAGTCCCCGGAACAACAATCTATATATTAGGACATCATCTCTAAGCTTTGTCTTTTATTTTTACCAAATGAATTTAAGAAATAATAAAGTTGATATATCACCCAGGAAAAAAAGTGTAGTAGACTACTCCTACTCCTAAATGCAATATTTTTAAAGAGGAAGACAATATTAAGTATACCAAAACTAATGGACTGTATCTTTGTTAGTGATTGTCTGATGTTTACAATTTTTTTTTTTGTTTTGTAATTTAGTAATCTTTCTAATTATTATGGGTATGATTCAGAAAAAAAATGCAACTTTGTTGAGTTATTCGCAAATAAAGTTTCTTTTCCTTCAAATGAAGAATTGATGAAGTTATGGCCTCTAAAAAAAAACACCTTTTAGAAATAATATATAGGATAGAAGAGCTGTGCTGAGATAGTTGACATGGCAACGAAATGACCTCACTTTTCATTATGATTTTTTGGCCTGCCGTTAACTAAAACATTCATAACTCCTCAGGATTTTATCCTAATTCAAAGTTTCTACAACCAAGTAATTCAAAGTTGAATTATCGCTCTTCAAGACCATATACATAACTTTTTGATTTAACACGTCTATAGAGAGTAAATAAATAAAACTAAATAACAGGTTTTTATTTTATAACTTGAGTTCTAAATTATTTAGGAAGGTACAGTTTGTGTCATTTCGTGTAGTTTATAAGGCCTTATATCCCTGCAAAATTTCATGCGAATAGATGGAAGAACACTGAAGTTATAACACCTTTTGTGACTCACAAAAAAATCAAGAGGTGGTGCCTTAGGTCAAATTTGTAGAAAAAAAAAATTTATTTTTCGATCGCAATGAAAATTAATATTGAGGGTCTTTTGAGCTGCAAAATACAAATCTCATCTCTGTTTCTTCTTGAAAAGATTTATCAACACACTTTACTCCTTCGATCTGTACAAATTGTTTAAATTTTACAAATTTCTAATCGATTTTTACAATATTTTTTTTGTTTTGTAGGTAATTTAGTTATCTTTCTAATTATCATGGGTACAATCAAGGAAAAAATGCATACTTTTTGAGTTAATCGCGAATAAAGTTTCTTTTCCTTCATAACTTTTTTCCACAAATTTCGGGAAGATAAGACTATTTTTCGTATGTGAAGGAGAAAAATATCTTCAAAATGATTGGTCAATCATTGGATTTGATGAAGAATTGACGAAGTTATGGGTACCAACCAAAAAACACCTTTTAGAAATAATATATAGGATTGCAAAATTTAATGGGTGTCAGTTATTGGAGTCTTATTTTGGGCATTTTGACATTTGACAGGTCTGTACTCATAGAAATTCAAAGAATTGTACTCAAAATAATGAGTCTTAAAAATGTACCATCCACTACTCTCTCATAAAAAAAAAAGAAAACCACTAGTAATATGGATTAAATACAAAGCAAAAATAGATTTTCCTATTGCAAAAACAGGTTCTTGACGGTGTCCAACATTTACCGATAAATTTAAATCAGGAAACGTAAGAAGTTAGTTTTATAAGTTCAAGGTAATTTTTGTTAATACCTATCTTAAAATGAAGAATATAAAGTTTCAACACTTTATTTTGCATAATTACATCCTTGTCAGCTATTAGAATGTTCCAAATCAAACAGTGTCAGCCACCGGTACAACAAAACTTTTCTCTAAATTCATAGTTTTTAAGAAATATAGGAGAATGTTTCTTGGTTTTTGACATGTTTTTGCAAACTAAGAGGTAATTCTATGAGAAGAATACAATAACATCAATATTTAAGTTTTCACACCTAAAAGTTCAAAGAAATTTCCTTAAGCTTGTCAGCTACTGGTGCGCAAATGTCACATATATTACAATTATGCTTAGTATAACTTCTTTAATGTTATAACATTTGAAAAAATGAGGAGTAAATTTTATATTACTTATTAATTACTTCAGTTATTTATTTACATAATTTAAGCAGGCTAAATACTAGTGTTGGTGGGAAACCAGTGTGGGAAGTGGGCTTTTAAGATCATATAATCCTGGTGTTTACTTACCAAAGAAATGTCAAGATTCATTTTACAGGGCCAACATAAATAATGAAACTTCATACAATATTAATAATTTATTCAATTTTTACTTTCACCTACCTACATAAAACTTATATTAGAAGAAAGTATTGAGATCGAAAACAATTTTGAATATTAATTTTCAGTAGAAATAAACATTTTATAGCCCACTGAGTCCACCAAATCTCACCAAATTGTGTGTGCATGTATGAACAAACCATTTCAAAATTAAACAGTTATAAAAACTAAAATCATGTATTTAAGGTATATACCTGAGATTTTACATTTTTTTTTGTTAAAATTGACTTGAATAGAAGTACTAAATAAAATAGAAATGCCATATTATATATTTGATTTTACGCTTCTTTTGACTTTCACAATTTTCTCGAAAATGGCTCTAATGAGTACACTCATTATGTCTATGTACAATTAAATTGTGTTTAATATCAGCTAGGTCTTATCCTTACTAAAATAGTATGACAGGGATTAAATGCTGAATTTTCAAAAAGACTTCCCCTAAAGTAAAATTACTCTATGAGAAGGAGTTGGTCGGGAGGGTGCAGTAAATAAATTTTTAAATTTATATAATGAATTTTTAACTTACACACTATATTATCCTTTGTTTTCTATTTTTATTCATACTTATTTTCTATTTTTGTTTGTATCTTCTCTATATATATATATATATATATATATATATATATATATATATATATATATATATATATATATATATATATAATACTGGATATTTTAACAACACTGTCACCCTCTATATCTCTGATGTCATCTTATTATTTATCAGACAACTGTTTCTTATTTAATATCTACTTATAATTCATTTATTTTATTTTCACCATGTACCTTTTATATTTTGTATCTTTTATAGCCATGATGAAGACCTGCAAGGTGGGTCGAAATGTCGGCGTAACAATTAAAAATACTATTTTTAAAAATTTAGTATTTATTAGACCGCATCCCCTGACCAACTCCTTCTCATATTATATCTTGGTCAACCATTTCTATATCATTAAAATACCTTTAACATTATTTTTGTGATAATTAAAGGTCTCTCTTTGTTGGTAATAATTAAAAAGTGGCTAAATATAAACTATGAAAGAACTGAATAGTTAAATGTTTTTCTAGTTTGAAAACTGTTTGGGAAATAAGGGTAGTAATATATATATATATATATATATATGTATATATAATATATATCATTGTGTAAATACCTGGAACCAGGATTTTTTAAAAAAATTCATGATAAATAAAAATGTAAAAGTTGATGGATAATGTTGAAAAACTAATGTAGTAATTATTTAATGAAAACTGAATGTTTTCTTTTATTATAATATAAATTTTATAAATTTATTTTAAATTTGGTAAACTAAACATGTATGATGCACCACATTGCATCACTGCAGTTGTTTAGAAAACTATTTATTATACTTTTTTTTATATAGAAAAGATAATTGAAATAATATAAATATCGAATCCATAGGATGGGAACCGGGCACACAATATAGTTATAGTGTCAGAGGAAGAACTGTTACAGGACTTCATCAGATTGCAAACCAATTCACTGGAGTGTTGATGCAAGCAAAGCTTACTATTCAAGCTAAATCTGATTCTACGCTTAGTCTCCAAGTAAGTGATCGATTGTTATTTCCTAAGATAGAATATGTTAAAAAATTTCACCTTAAAATTTCTTTTGTTTTTAGATCATAGGAGCTAAATATGCCGAAATACACAGAAATCTTAGCAATGGTTGGGATACATACATTCCAGATGAATCACTTGATTATATGAAACTACATTTACATAGTGGAGCATTTGAGCTTTATCTTGATGATGGCATTGTAAGTAATACAGAAAACATTAATTACTTAACTGTACAATGATTGGTATTAATGGTTTCTATTTTTAATTACAGATTAAAGAAATGATTGTGGATCAAAGTATACCTACTTGGGAGTTAAATGTTCTAAAAAGTATTGTTAGCTTACTACAAGTTGATGTACAAGCAGAAAATGTCATAAAATCTAGATTGAATCTGATTCCAAATTCTGATTTAAGCTTAGGTACTTATAAAACTATGGAGGTAAATACAAATATTTAAGATTATATAATTCAACACCATACTGCTTTGAAATGTCAACACAGTTTTTTGTTGTATGGATGAAAAATGAATATTAAACATTTAAAAGAATATTATTTATATTTTTTTGCTAAAAAAACAAACAAAAAACTAAGCTTATGGTTGATAACCATAAATTATAGATTAAATTGTCATATTGATGGGTTATTTTAACAATAGAATAGATTTTATTTATTAAACAATAACTATTCAGTCCAATAAAATCACATTCATTTGTCATCAGTCACCTTTTCTAACAGAACTTAAATTATTCTTTCAAAGACAAAAAAGTCTATTTGTCCATTTTTGTAAATTTTCAGGCTTCTGACCTATAAGTTAAAACCAGGCAGGATAATTTCTTGTATAGAGCAATCTTGGCCTTGTTAGAAAGGAATCTGCTTCTGAAATACGTATCAAACTCAAAGTAATGCTGGTTCTTTACCACTTTCCTCCAATTGATCTCCCAGAATATCCCATTACCAGAGTCAACTTCTGGCCTCAAAAGCTGCTTACCTTCTCAAAGCTGTAGGTTCCAACCTCAAAAGAGCCAATCCCTGATCCTGGTCTTCCAACTCTGATGTACTTTATCTTTGTCTCGTTGATAACCAATCAAAGTTTCTTTGTTGCATTTTCTATGGTCAAGAACAATTTTCTTAATTTACTGATTTAGCAGCAATATCGAGGTCATCAGCATACCTCTAAAACTGTTAAGCAGGGTAGCATGATGCTGAATTATGGGCAAGCAAATTAAATTTTCTCTTTGAATATCCTGGAAATCATACTCAATCCATAATAGGATGAATGATGATTTCTAATTACTTTACAACTAATTTATATATTAATGCCGAGCCATTGCCTATGAAGACAAAGATGGTTACAGTTATAAATAAGAATAAATATATATTTTTAGGATTCAGTCAATGGAGTCCATGAAACAATTTATGATATTTCTGAAATCCAACAATACGCCTTACAAAGCCAACATCAGTTGTTACCTTTGCCCCATTCACTAGGTAAAGGCAAAGTATTCGAAATTGTTAAAAATAGAAACTTTTCTAATAGCAATCAGCATGTGGTGTATCATTCTGGATTAGATGGCCAAACTAATTGGAAACCAGGCTCCAATCAAATGGGAAAATTCCTTACTGTAAGTTCAAATTATATTAGGCTTTATTAGTAATGAAATAATATATTTTAACTACTTCTTATTTTTATTATTTTTTTTATTTTCTTTAGCGTACATCAATGAGCCAGATAATAATTTCAGGGAATCGTAAACACTACACTATACAATCTTCAACAACTATTGATAAGATAATTGTAGCGCCTCATTTATACAATAAACAAAAAGGAATGGTTGGAAGCAAATTTAATCTTACACTTGAGTCTGTCAATTCAATTAAATTACCTTTTCCAGTTGTTAGTAACCCAAGGCCAATAAGAAATTTGGTTTATGAGTATAATCCCAATAGTTCAACAAGTAAAAAGATGAAAGAAGGGCTATCTGACTTTAAGCTTGATGGCAGTCTTGACTTTAAATCTTCTCAAGTGATTTCAGATGAATTAAGTTTTTTGTCTACTTCCAAATTATCAGAAGCATCCCCTTTAGATTATGTTACTTTTACTGGTGAAACAAAAAATGAACATGATGTTTTGAATAGTACTCAAAATATTATTAGACTTGCTCGTGAAATTGGCCAAGGTATTGTTTCTCCAAACGCCTTGACTGGAGAGAGAACCTTAAATAAATTCTCTCTGTTAGTTCGTTTAACAAGAACTATGTCAACTGAACAGTTAAAAGAAGTTTCTGAAAATATCTATTACCCCTATTTAAAAACTAGGAAAGCTAACAGTTTAGAAATTGCCCGTAACTATCAAGCATGGTAATTTATTTTATTATTAATAGAACCACATTTTATGGGTTAATTATAATAGCTAATTCACCTAATATTTGGCAGGATATCTTTTCGTGATGCAGTAGGTCAATCTGGAACTGGACCTGCTCTTATGAGTATTAGAGAATGGATAGTTTCGAAAAAAGTTGTTGGAGAAGAAGCTTCTCACCTAATTATGTCATTATCCAAAACAGCAAAGTATCTGACAGCTGATTACATTGATTATTTCTTTGTAAGTACTAATATTATAAACAGTGATAACAATTTTAATTTAATTTATTTATAATCATTAACCATTCATAGATTAAAACTGGACTGCTATGAATCCCAAAAACAAACCAAATCAAGTAATGAAATTTCAAATGTACTGTTTAAACTGCTCAGGTATATAGAATAGTGTTAGCATTATACTAATGACTGTAAAAACAAACAGAATCCTAAATACAAATATTTTGAAAGAAAACAAATATGAGCAGCTGAGGTCCATCATTAAGGTCCTATTTCCCTCTCATTTTCATTTAGAAATTTGTTTTATTAATGTTTGAATAATAATAAGGCTTAGCAAAAGTGAAAGTTTGATGTCGATACCTCAAATCGATGTCTCTACTCTTCCACCCTCCAGGTACCATCTAAACCCAACCTCACCAAATCAATCGTAACGCAATCTTCCCACCTTCGCTTTGGTCTACCCCTCTGTTGCTCGCCAGTCGGCACAGCGCATATTAACTTTTTAGGAATTCTTTTGTTAATACTAAAGTACTCCTTTGTTGCTATTAATGCTTACTTCAGGAAATTTAATACAATTTTAAAATCAATTGAACATATGAATTTCTTTCTGTAGTTTTATTTATGAAAATTTAATAATTTGTTTCCGAATTGAATATATCGAAATGAGAAAAGGGACTTCGGTGACACTAACTCAATTAACATACAACTACTCAACCCTCTGAATCAATATGGAGAGGATATAGAAGTGCTAAAAACTTTAAAAACAGTGACAAAATCGTGGAAATGGGATAAACAAATATGGTTTTTATAATTTAGTTTTTACAAAAATTAGAATAATTTGTGAACAAGATTTTCTTTTCCACTTTACACAATCAATGTTTCCAGTTTTTTATTTTATTATCATATATATATATATATATATATATCATATATTTTATTTATGATAATGATGATGAGGATATATTCTTAATCTGGTGATGAGGTAAAACTCAAAACTATGATTCAACTTTTGTAATAAGTAAAATAAATAATATTAGAAAGGAAGACACTGTTCACAAATTAATTTTAAATAGATTAATAAATCTTCCAAAAATATTTAAACTATTCATTTGTAAAGATTTTTTTTTCGGTGGGAATTTGTAGCAACCCAGTTTTAATCTAAAATTGACTAATAATTATCAAAATTTTAATAATTCAATTATTTATTATGAGCAATCCAAAAAATATATATAATCCTCAAGAATTTTTTTTTTTTAGGACATGTTGAATGATGAATTAATCAAGAATCATGTTTCATCAAGAACAAGTGCAGTTCTGTCATTTACTGAAATAATTAATAAAGCATTAGTTAATCAAAAATCTTCTGAAAAGAATTATCCTGTGCATTTTTTGGGATCCGTTAAAGCTAAAAATGTCAGTGCAATACTTGAAAAATATATCTCTTATTTTCAAAAGAAGTTACACGAATCTGTAAACCAGAAGAATTCGGTTGATATTCAATTGTATATTCGAGCACTCAACAACATAGCTCATCCTTACACCCTCAAAGTATTTAAACCTTATCTTGAAGGAAAAACCACCATTTCTAAATTCCAAAGATTCACAATAATTGCATCTATGGACAAACTTGTTAAAACTTATCCTAATCTAGCTCGCACAGTTTTGTTTAGAATCTATAGCAACATGGCTGACACGCCCGAAATTCGGATAGCAGCTGTAATGCAGTTCATAAAAACAAATCCTCCAGTTCTTATGCTTCAATCCATGGCACAGCAGACTAACTTTGATCTGAACAAACAGGTTAATGCTGCTGTGAAATCAGCTATAGAAAGTTATGCAAAACAAGAAGTAAATCAATATAATAAAGAAATGTAAGTTGTAATTAATCTACTTCATTTCATAATTTACTTTAATTTATTTTTCAATTTTAAAGACCAATTTATTTTATTTATTTATTCATAATGATTTCTTATCATGTCTGCCTTAGTTTGCCCAAAACAATTTTATTTTTTGTGAAGGTGATATTTGACTAGAAATTAGGTCTGCTTAGAGTTTTTAATGTAGTTTGATGATTTTAGTGTTATCTGGATTAGGTCGTTTGAAATTGGGATTGGTTCATACTTCATGAGTTTATAAAATATAAAGTAGCTTTCTCTCAGTGTTCCTGTTCCTTAAAACTAGAAGATAGACTTCTTTGTCTTCTAGTTAATTTAGTTTTGAAGAAAATAACAAAAGATGCAGGAATCCAAATCTAAAACAATATTTTCCTGATTAGTGCAGGTCCTAAGTTTGCTGAAGATTTGGACATAGTCCAGATAATACTCATTAGAGAACCACTGTTTGGGACTTTCAATTAATCCAGCTAAGACACTGAAGCCAAACAGTCTTTTAGTTGTGGGACGCTATAAATTTGAGCAGATTAAGAAGTTTGCTTACTTCGGACCCTTTTGTTACTTTAAGAAGCTAAATAAATGCCTCACTACTGCCAACAAAGCTATTTCGTCCTTCTATTGGTTCATCTGCAGGCAAATCAAGTTGATTCTTTATAAACTAAATAGATTGTCCAACCTGTTTTAACTTATGCTTCATAGACTTGGACCATTTTCAAACATGGTGAAAGGTACCTAATGATCTTTGAATGGGAAAAATTCTATATCACATGATTGGATCTGCCAGGAATATATCTGGATAAAGTTAAGTTAGTGAAGTTAGGAAGAGCAGTTTTTTTGCCATATGGATAATAGAATGAATGTACAAGAGATCTTGAGAAAGGTACTTTAGAAGGTCGCAGCCTACTTGGGGTCAGGAACTGGATAGAGCTGAATACTGTTTGCTCATTTAGGAAGCCAAGATATGGTGTGATTAGCTCAAGAGAGATGATTTATCAATTTTTTAGTAAGCCCTTTTAAATGAATGCATGTATTCCACTTGTTAAATTATGCTTATAATTTTTTAGGGTTCAGAAAGCAAAAGCTGCTGTAAATATGCTGGCTGCTGAGAATTATGGTTTACACTATTCAAGGAATTTCATAAATTCATTTATTGTAAAAGAACGAAATTTAGCCTATAAACATCATTTAGCTTATATTCAAAGTGCTGATAGCATATACCCCAGTTCGTTTTTTTATCATTTGAAAAATAACATAGGAGGTTACAAACACAATTCAATTGAAGTGAGTAATAAATGTAATTAAATGTTTTCATAATAACCCGATTGTTATTATAAACACACAATTTGTTCCAGATGAACTTTGTAACATCAAGTACAAGCAAACTTATCGATCTTTTATATAATGGATTTTTCGGGAATGATAATAAGAAACAGAGAAGAGAAAAGAGAATTAATTTATCAAACTCAAAATGGTCTCTAAATAATATTTATGATTCTCTTAACTTTAAAAAAGAAGAAAATGAACAACTGGAAGGCCATATTTTAGCGACTGTACTGGGTGTTAAAAGATATTTTTCTTTCGATAATAATACCCTACAAAATATTCCGAAAAGTTAGTTTAATTTATTTTTTATTATTTGATGTAAATATGTGTTTATACTATATTATTATAATGAAGAGAAGGTTGGTTGGGGTGATCAGTCAGAAATAAGGCAAAATAAATAATAATATTTATTTTAAAATTTGTCGACGTTTTGACCTGAAGTTCAGGCCTTTATCAGGGCTGCTCCCAAAAGATTGCTGGAGTACAGTGAAGATATGACCATATCACTACTGGCCTGAACTTCAGGTCAAAACGTCGGCAAAAGTTAAAATGAATATTATTATTTATTTTGTCTTTTTATGTCTGACTGATAACCCCAACCATCCTTTTCTTCATTATTCCTGACAGTCAACCATTAACTCACAATTATGTATATTATTATAATATTAAAGACCCATTTTGATCTTTTGTAAGATACCTCTCTGTTTATCCAGAAGTTCTCTCACTAAGCACATTAATTATTTTGTCTTAGATCTAAAAATATCTTTAGATTCAATTGTTGTCCATTTTAAGTGCTGTAGTCACATTCATACAGTATTTGTTCAGCCTTGAGGCACTGATGAGATGTGGAATCTTCCACTTATTTCATCTTGTTGAGCTATTTTAGCAAACAGTGGCCCATGAGAAGATATTTTGTTGTTCTCAACTTGTTCTTTATCAGGTTTAGATAAAATTTAATCTTTTCATTTGACAAATTGAAGATTGTTTGGACTGTTTTATATCAGATTTTAAAGCCCAGTATGTTTGTCAAGATTCAATTTCTTTCTTGGTCAAATTTTTAGATACAATATGGGCCAGGACCAATTACCACTATTTCAGTTCCTTTTCTTAATAGAGGCATCAATTGTCTCATTGCCTTCTATTTCTTGATGTCCACATCAGTGTAAATTTACTATGCCTTACTAATTGCTTCAGGATTTAAAGAAAATCCTTTATTAGCAATGCTATAATAATTTTCTGAGTTTCTATTTCTATTTGAATAACAACAATTTAAAAAACTGTTCGGTATCATCCCATTACAAGGATCCATCTACAGTTATTCATAATTTCCTTAACTTTCTAAAAGAAAAAAATTAGTAACTGCAAGATCATATATTATTGATCATGTAACATATAAAAAGATATATTTTTTTCAATAACATTACCTAAAAAATATATCTGGATGGGTATATGCATGTGTTAATGCATAAATCATATAAGACTTACTTATTATTGTGTTTCAGATGTTGCTGGAATTGTGACCGATATGATGAATAACAGAAGGTTTAATTTTACAAATCTTTACAATGAGTACTCTATGGAAATTGTGTTTCCGACAACTATGGGTTTTCCTTTCATTTATACTTTGGAAACTCCAACACTTGTTAATTTTGGTCTTCAGTTGACTGGAGATGGACGTACTACACCACTTGGTAGCCATTCTGCTGTCCATACTGATGACTTGAGTCTTAGTGGAAATTATAATATTCTGTAAGATATTTACATAGATATATCTTTCTTATAAGAAGCATTTTCAATTATCTGAATTTTCATCAAACAAGTTATAATTTAATTATGGTTTAGAACTGATTGGAAGCTATTAAAATCTTATGTTTTCTTTTCTTCCTCCTCAGTGCCTCTCAGCATGGAGGTGCCTCGATCCAAGCTTTTCATCTGTCCCGGTCCCTTGCCAATACCTTCATGGAATTCAACAGCTTTCCTCTTTTCTCCCCTAGTCTAGTCACAACATCCTTGGTCTGCCTCTTACTCTTTTGCCAGTTGTTCTAGCTTTGAAGAATTTTTGCGGTCCACGGTCTTCATCCATTCGGCATATATGTCCAAACCACTTCAACTGCCTCTTCACAAGAATTTCAGTTAGTGGTTCACCCTTAGCTCCTCTCTTATTCTGGTATTCCTGAAGTGTTCAGCCGGCCACTTTTCTAAGATATTTCATTTCTGAGGTGGTGATTCTGTCAAGAAGGACCCAGTTCTCACTTCTGTATATTAGGGTCGGAAGGTAAATAGCATTAAAAATGTGAAGTTTCACTTTTTTCTCAACTTCACGTTTCTCAACAACAGTATTGCAGATTTTGTAATAAATGTTGTTTTTTTTAACCTATTAGATATTTCTTGTTGAATTTTACCATCTGTGCTAATAACTGTACCTAGGTACATATAATCTTCTGCTGCCTCTATGATTTCTTCTCTGCAAGTAATCTGCACATCTTCAGGTTCTGGTCCAATTTGCATGACTTTGCTTTTACTTGTATTTATAATCATGCCTTTTCTCTCCTGCTCTGCTTCTCATTTCACTACAGCTTGCTGAAGATTCTGAATGGAGTCCGATAGGAGTACAATATCATCGGCATAGAAAGTGTCAAAAACTGTTCTCAAGTTCCATTTCCCTACTACTGTCCATGTCCTCCTTCTTTTACATATTTTCAATATCTCGTCCATCACAATAATAAAGAGAAGATGGTTCAGACTATCTCCCTGTTTGATACCTGTCTTCATATCAAAGCTCCTAGACTCCTTTCCATTCATCCTGACTTTACCCTTTGAGCCCTTATATGAAGATTTTTGTGGCTTCTATAAGTTCTAAAGGGACGTTCATTGTCTTCTATGCATTCCATATTTTGACTCCTGGGATTGAATCAAAAGCGGTTTGCAGATCTAAAAAAGCTAAATATATATTTTTATCCCTATCCCAAGCCATTTCTATGATGGTCGCCAGTGTAACTATTTGGTCATGGGTCTATTTAAAAGGTGTGAATGCAGTTTGCTCTTCTTCAAGGTCCTTTTTTTACTATATCTCTGATTCTCTTCTTGAGGACTGATGTATATAACTTATGGACTTCCTGGGACCAGCATATTGGTCTATAGTTGTTACAATCACTTTGACTTCCTTTCCTATGTATTGGGATAATGACATTATATTCTCAGTCTTTAGGGATACTTTTCTTGTCGTATATTTTCTGAAATAAACCCTGTAGAACTTTAATTATTCCATTTCCTTCATATTTGATAAGCTCCGGGATAACACCATCTCCTCCGGCTGATCACTGTCTTGAATCTTATGTAATAAGTAAAATTGCCATATTTTTAATCTAATTTATAAATATTATACAGTTTTTCATTTTTTGTTTTTGTTTTTTTTAGTTATTCTACTCATAAGGAAGGGAAAATAGGATTTGTTACACCTTATAATGGTAAAATGTACACAACTGGCTTGGAAAGGAATATTCATGTGCACATAACAATAAAAGTGGATGTTAATATAAATGTAAAACAACCTAAAATCAATGTTACTTTAGAACCCATAGATAAAAATGAGGCACAAAAGGTATTTGAATATAGCACTAGAGCATCCACATCAATGCAAGATTCTAATAAGATTAATTCATTGATGGCTAGAAAAGATGTCCTGTTGGTTCATAATGAGCCTATTAAAGTTGTTAGTATTACTTTTTTTATTTATTTCTGATTTGTAAATTTTGAAATATTTAGTCTAATGTAAATATTTTATTTCTCATTTAGGTCCAACAAACATTCGGAAAAGAAAAATATGGTTTCTCTTTTGATATTAAAATGGAAACTGACAAAAACAATCTTGGGCTTAACTATATTTATAATCACCTTAAAGGTCATGATGTGATATCATTAGCATCATTTATTGACTCATTAGATGGAATAAACAACCATAACTACTCCATTACTTTTAATCCACAGAATAGTTGGTCTAAAAAGATGGAACTTTCCCTTTCATATAACAAAACTGATAGTACCAAAACTTCTGTACCCACAAGCTCACATGAAAGAGAATCCCATAAAGGTCCTAGCTTGGAAAATAAAGAATCTTACCGAACAGAACTTTTTAAAAATGTTGCAGTAAATATAAAAGATCCTCAAACAAACTTTATTCAATTAAAAATGTCCTTTAAAGGTCTATATGATACTGAGTATGAACTATTACTTGCTTCTTCTAACAGTTTTAAATCAAACATTACAAGAATTTTAGCTTTTATGAAGAATTCGACAACAACACACATGGAACCCAAAAGTTATGTGGTAAGTTTTCAAGATTTTGTTTTGTTGTTAATGGAATAATTTATTTTTAACCTCTTCTAAACAAGACAAAAATATAATGTTTCATGTTTTGTTATTATTGGAAAAATTCCAAACCACACAGCCTTTTTTCTCCAAACTGCAGGCAAAGAAAAACGCGTCAACGTTTTGCCAATTCTGGCATAATAATGTTCTATAATATTTAAGTATAAATTGTTGTGGAGGAAACCAGGATCATCCTTGTTGATTTCCAGTGTCCACAGCTTCCTCTTCATTATTAAGACTTTACCTCAAAAACTTACTATAACTCAACTTCCATGGATCTATTACTTGTACTGGTACCGGTATTGGTGGGGTACTTAGTCCGGCAAGTGGGCCTATTGGTCCTTTTTGCAAACCCTAAAATTTGATACTACCAGTGGTTGTCTATTGTACCTCTATTCTGTCTCAAACCTTTTTGTTCTTCTAATGAAGTTCAAAAGGTTGGATCATTTAATGGAGGCAGCTTTGCATACTTGGATTCTGTCTGCTCCCAGAAGTCTGTATCTGAGTGACGCAAATCGGTCACATTCCGTTATGAAGTGAAGGGCAGTTTCAGGTGCACTTCTGCAGAGATTACAGAGTTCATCATCCACTATCCTACAGATCTTTAAGTGTCTTTTAAGTCTGCAGTGGCCTGTTAGTACTCCGATGATGAGTCGGATTTCTTTTCTAGTTAGGCCCAGCAGCCACTTTGTTTTGGAGGGAGAGGGGCTTTTAATAAATTGCTTCGCTTGTCTCAGCCCGGTACATTCCCTCCATTCTTTCCATGAATCTATTAAAAACGTCAAAATCTTTTTACTTAAATAACTTTTTCAGAATATTTATTTGTTTATTTCCCAGCCTCTCATGTCTGTTGGTTAATATGGGTGTTTTATTGGTCATCTTCTTTTTGCTCCAATGCTGTAGTAGGCTGAATCCAGTACCATATTTCAACCATAAACGAATTCTTTGAAATGTAAAAAGTCCCCTTCACTCATCCATGAAGGAATCTCCATAGCAAGGAAGTAAATTATTCGTGTTTGTAATTCCTTATATGCAATGGAGGCCATGAATGCCTTCTCAACAAACTCTGGAACACAAAAACAGATTTATGTCCAGTTAAAGGATATATACCTTGGTTAAAAAATCTCCATGCACTATGATGTATTGTGAAATGGAGTAGTCTAGAAGAACCCTTTTTCTGTGTTGCCCTAGATTTTGTAGTGATAGCATATAGTCTCAGAGTAATCAGTATTTTCTCAGAGTTGTTACCTACCATTTGCTTGTGAATATGACCTGTATGCACTGTTGACACTATTTGTTGAGCAAATTAAAAAATGTTGAACAGTCTATTATCTTCAATTAATTTTAAAAAAATGTTATTAGCTTCATAAATAAATATTTAATTCTAAGAAAATATACTTTTGCTTTATCTGGAGTGGGATATCTCAGTGGGCAAGACACTGATTTCCATAGCTCAAGATCCTAAGTTCAAATTCAGCTGATGACAGGTAACTGTTTCATCAGGTGTGGATCGATCCTGGGATTGATAAATCCTCCTGGAGTATATCCAGCCTCTCTATAAAGTGGATGTGGCTCTTAATTAAATAATTAATTAAGGGGGAAAACCTGGTGGTTGAGTGTGATTCCAGCCCGATCACCTGTTGGCCTGGAAACAGTACTTCCTTACAAATTACTATTCTAAGATCCTTCATTGCTTGTAGTGGTACAGGTGTTTTTGTTTTTCTATTTTACTACTGGTTTGTTCCTTAAATACCACACACCACACTTGTTAACACACACCAAACTTCTATTTTTATTTTTAATTTCCCTTTTATTATTTAAAAATCTTATATTTTTCTAGGGTGCTCTTGAATTGACTACATTAATGCCCAGAATCCAACTAGTAAAACATGGAATCAGTTTAAACCCTCTTTCCCCTTCTAAAGTTAAGGGAAGATTCATTTTTGGTGAGCGACCTCCGTACAAAAGTCATATTATGTTGCAAGGTGACCTTTATACAAGTCTAGAAAGGCTTAAGTATCTTAAAAAACATCCACTGGGAATTTTGTGTGAGAAGCAAATTCAAATGGGTTATAAAATACAAGCTGCCTGCAGAAACGTGACTCGCAGAATGAATTATCTTGATAAGTATCAATTCAGAATCAACTATCAACACATTCCAAATGATTTCAAGAACATGGTATATAAGATTTATAGATATATAAATCATCTTTGGTATGATTATAACACCGAGACTGTAAATTTCATGGATAATGGAGAAAATATAGATGTTAAAATCGACTTTGGCAAAAATCTTCTCTCTAGTAATTTATCTATTACTACATCTGACTTTTCAGACAAGTATGTAAATGTTCCTATTCATGAATGGGTTCGTCCATTAGTCGTTTTACACCCTCAATACAACATGATGGAACGTTTAGGTCATAGAATTATGGTTGGACAGGAATCACGTAAGTATACTAACTTATAATGTTAAATCTATGCTAGATTGTTACAAAAGTCTTAGGGAATAAAATAAATTTAAATTAAATAAAATCTATACATTAAAATTATTCTTCAAAACATAAGTCATTATTTTCTATTACTTTTTGCTAGAACTTGAAATTGGTAGTAATTTTTGATAAGAAAAACTTCTCACATCCTAATTTGACATCCTCTTTGTTACAGAAATACCTTCCTTTTAAAAAATGCAACATTGACTGTAAAAGGCAGTTGTCAGATGGTATGACTATGAGGAGGTTGACGCAAGATACAAACACTCCTAATTATATGAATTTTTTTTAATATATATGTTCTCTTGCCAAAAGACAATTGGACCTGAAACGCTATGGAGGAATGCAGCTAAGAAAGGAGCTCCATAACCTCATTTTGAAGATATGGGAGGAAGAGGAAATGCCTGAGGAGTGGAATTATATACCCACTACACAAGAAAGGAGTCCAATTGGATTGCGACAATCATCGTGGCATAGTGCTCCTCTCATGTAATAAAGTTCTCTCTAACATACTATTTGAGAGACTAGTTCCTCATGCCGAGAGAGAGACAGGCAAATATCTAGCGGGATTTAGGTGAGGGAGGTCCACATTGGACCAACTGTTCTCACTGAGGTTGATGCTGGAGAAATGCAAAGAGGATAGAACAGTTACCCATCACCTGTTCATTGATTTTAAAGCCGCCTACGATAGTATAACTCGGCCGGAGCTCTATCAGGCCCTGTTGGAAATGAACGTCCCAATTAAACTGATACGGCTCGTGAAAATGACGATGTCAGGCTCGAAGTGAGCAGTACAAGAAGGAAGTGACTTCTCGGAAGACTTTCATACTAACTGTGGGGTAAGACAGGGAGATACTCTAGCCTGTCTTCTTTTTAACTTCGCTGCAGAGAAAGCCGTGCTTATGTCCGGAATCCAACTCCACGCAACCCTTCTTAACAGTACCGTTCAGCTTCTTGGGTACGCTGACGACTTTAGTATTGGCAATAGATCAGAATGTGGATTAAGAGAGTTGTTCTTGGCCATAGAAGATGCAGCAAAGAAACTTGAGCTACACATTAATGAAGCGAAGACCAAGTATATGAGAGTCGGAGGAGATGGGCCAGGGACCGGTTCTTTTGTAGCACGAACATATAATTTCGAAAAGGTATGCAGCTTTGTCTACCTCGGGTCTGAGATCAACTCCGAAAACGACATCTCTAGAGAAGTCAACAGAAGGATAGCAATGACGAGACGGTGCTACTTTGGCCTTTCGAAGCTTTTTGGAAGCAGGTTTCTCTCTAACAGGACCAAGATCACTCTCTACAAAACCTTGATCTGCCCTGTTTTAACTTATGGATCAGAAGCATGGGCCTTTAAGAAGCAAGATGAAAATAGACTTCTGATCTTTGAGAGATCAATCTTGAGAAGGATTTTTGGTCCCGTTAGAGAGGGTGAAATCTGGAGAAATAATGCTGAACTCGCTTGCCTTTATAAGAACATAGACTTGGACATATACAACTTCGATGGGCCGGGCACGTTGCACGTATGGATGATTCGGTGATACCCAGGAAAATGCTGTTCGGAAAGATGCATGGACAAAGAAAGGTCGGCAGGCCAAATGTAAGATGGGAGGACTCAGTGACATTGGACGCACGGATCCTACTGGGAGTCCGAAACTGGAGAGCTGCTGCAGCTGATCGTATCGACTGGCAAAAGCTTTTGAAGGAGGCTCAGTCTCGGATGTAGCGCTATCTATGTATGTATGTATGTATGTCTTGCCACAACATCACTTTATCACAGTTGACCAAAGCAGGATACTTCTCTTTTAAAATTTCATAAACTCTTCCAAGTTTTTCTCACTCAGCAAAACTAAATGTCAATATCTGGAAATCTGAACCACATCAAAGGACGAAATATTCCCATAATTCCACCAAAAACAAAGTAGAATCTTATTTCCAAATTGCTCTTGGTGAACATCTTCTCGAGCCTCTTGGCATTGTTGTAACCGCTGGTTGATAGAATTTTTTAAGTATCATTGTTTATCACTTGTTATAATTCTTTTCCAAAATCTATCATCTTTTGGATTTTGAAGCAACTTTTTGCGGTTTTCAACTCATCTCTGAGGTTACACTTGTTTCTATTTTCCAGTAACAACTTAGAAGACCATAAATGACAATCGTTTCCTCCGACATTTTTTATATGTCAGAAGTATGAAATGAAATGAAAGGCGGAGACAGTTGTTACAGGTAATTAAATTAAGGAAATGTTTAAGTTAATTAAGGGAGATCCATTATTTACAACACAATGTAGTAAGGATTAAAATAGAGGCTTCTAAGTCAGCAATGAATTAAGGCACTAAGACTTTTGTAAATAGCATAGTACAAATAACTTAGAAAACACTATCATTATGCCTATGATAAAGAATTATGTGGTTTTACTTTACTTTTTTTTTTTTTTTTAGCAACATGTACATATGATAAAGACCAAATTACTACGTTTGATAATAGGACATATTATGTCAATTTGGGAGATAAATATCATATTTTAACACAGTATATTCCTAAAAATCATGGTTTTGACAAAAATGAAAATGATGAATATTTTAGTATAATTGCTGGCCAACGCTCGTTGCAACTATTGGTAACTTAATGAAAGATCTAAATAGATTTTTCCTTATATTTTTGAACAATTAAGTTTGTAAATATTAAAAAAATTCATTTGGTCTTATATATTTATATATATAAATAAATAATAATAATATTATTATATTTATATTTTGAACTTTATTTATAGGACCTAAGGATAATAGTTGGTGATGATGTTCTAGAAGTAACACAGGTTGGCGATGATTCATTATTAAACTTCATTTATAATGGAAAAAGAATAATTATTTCAGATGACATGAAAGAATTACATGACTACAGGGGAAGTGTTGTTTTGAAATTGTTTTCACTTCCTGAGGGAGCAGTGAGATTAGTTGCTGAAAAGAACGGATTTGAAATAATTCATCATGGAAACCATGTAACAGTCATAGTCAGCAACAAATTCAGGAATAAATTATGGGGCCTTTGTGGCAATTTTGATGGAGAAATATATAATGAGTTTACAACTCCTCAGAATTGTATAACAAGTGATAGAAAACAGTTCATAGCCAGTTATGAGTTCCTTAATAAAACAATTAAAGGAGTGACCCGGAATAGTGAATGCTATAAACGAAAATACATATTTGGAACAATTGTTAATGAAGAAGAAGTTAATAAATATATTGATAAGGAGAGAAAAATAAATTGCGAAGAAACAATAAAAAAAAGATTGCTCAAAGAGATGATTGAAGCATCAACTACTTATAATCCATAAAAAAAAAATGCATGCTAGCCTGTAATTTCTAGCATCAGAAAATTTCAAATGTATTGTATATGTATATATTTTGATTAATTATTAGTATTTTTCAGTGGAATTATATTTGTTTAATCAACATTAATTGTCTTTCTTCCCTCACATAATTTCAATCCTAGAAAAAATAATTATTATTAGACCCAAAAGATAAGAAGGAATATCAATTTTCCAAATAACCATACAAGTTTTCATTCTCCTGACTTTTATAATCATTTTATTGGAAGACTAATAATACAATTTGCCACAGTCAAGGGCATTGGGCATTAAGGCTCTATGTGTACATTCATACTATTATATACAAATCAAGAAAAAATAAATAAAAATAAAACATCTAAGTAAAAAATATATACAATAAAATAATAACAAAAATATAAGATACTTGTAAAAAAAAAATACATTAAAAGGATAAAATAGAAAAAAAAATACATTAGAAGGATTGAAGAATCACCTTTCTTTACTCCAAACCCCTACCAAGTGCTTCAAAATGACAGAGAAGTAATGGAGTCTGCAGCAATACCCAGAGAACCAAAGCCTCCTCCGATATTTGTGAAAAATATAAAAAATTTCCAGATGTTCTGCACCCAACTAAATAAAATCTGCTCTGGCAGTTATTCATGCCTTAACAGGACCAATGACACCAAAATAACACCTGATTCTGCAGAAGCCTACCGAAAAATAGTGAAGTACTTATCAGAAACAAATGCGAATTTTCACACTTACCAGCTGAGGCAGGAAAGAGCTTTACCAGTAGTGATAAGAAATTTACATTCCTCAACCCCCACTGAAGTTATTAAAGAAGAACTAACGACGCTTGGTTTCAATGTACGCCAGGTAACAAACGTTTTGAAGGAGGACAGGGAGCAGTCAGGATTACGAAATAGGATCCCACTACCATTGTTTTTCGTGGACTTGGAGCCATCACCAGGTATCGAAAAAATATATGATATCACAAGAATATACTACACAATGGTGAAAGTTGAGAAGCCATATCCCAAGAGAGACATCGTGCAGTGCCATAATTGTCAAACCTATGGCCACACGAAAACATATTGCCACCATCTGCCGCGTTGCGTGAAGTGCGGTGAACAGCACAAATCTGTAGAGTGCACCAAACCTATACAAGATCCAGCAGTATGTGCCCTATGCTTGGAGGGACACCCGGCCAACTACAAAGGCTGCCAAATTTACAAGAATCTCAAAACCAGACACCAGAAAAACCGGATTCAAGATGAAGCACTAAGAACAAGAAGAGAGAGAGAGCCTTCCAGAATTGTAAACAATGATGTATCATTCTCTCAACTACTTAGAGGTAAGACTTTAACCGATAAATGTCAAGCCCTGCCACAACAACCTCAAACCCAACCTCAAAATCCTCTTCATCCTAATATACCTAACCACCAACAACAAAGTCCTCATATTCCTCCTCCTTCAAATGCAACAGATCTCACAAGTTTGTTAGCATCTTTCCTCACCGATTTCAAATCCCTTGTTACTCCACTCATATCACTCCTCACGAATCTCGTATCTCACCTTATCCCTCCTTTGAAAAATCCTTAAATGACTCACATCCCTAAACCCATATCCATTCTCCTTTGGAATGCGAATGGTGTTAGAAATCATACAGACGAACTATCTACTTTACTACTTGACAAGAACATTGATGTGGCACTAATTACTGAAACTCGACTAACCACTAAACAGCACTTCAATATACCACAATACCTGACATATCGTACTGACCACCCTGACGGAAAAGCACATGCCGGTACTGCTGTAATTGTACACCAATCCCTCTCCCATCACGTACTCCCATTACCAATACATGATTTCCTACAGTCCACCGCTATCGTGATAAAAACCTTCTCCTTTCCGGTCACTCTTGCATCAGCGTATTGCCCTCCTAACCGATCCATATCCAATGCCCAATTCAGTTCTCTCCTCGACTCCTTAGGACATCACTTCATCTTGGGTGCAGACCTAAATGCCAAGCACCAACAATGGGGTTCCAGAACCACGAATTCTCGCGGCCGAACCCTGCTGTCTGCACTCAATTCCCAACGTTTTCACCTCCTTTCCCCCAACTCTCCTACCTACTGGCCCACAGATCCCAACCGTAATCCTGATCTTCTTGATTTCTTTATCCACAGCGGCTTAAGTCCCCTCAATTGTTCCATTACACGTCTTAATGAACTTTCCTCTGACCATAGTCCTCTAATCCTTAATGTTTCACGTGAACCTGTTCCCAAACCTTCTCCACCGTCATTCATTAGGGGCCCAGTAAACTGGGACCTTTTCCGCCAAATAATCTCCGATAATATTAATCTCAACATATCCCTCAAAACTCCCGATGACCTTGATAGTGCCGTAAATTCCTTTACTACCACAATCCAACAAGCCGCCTGGACTGCCTCCTTCCCAAAAGACTCCTCCAGAATTCCTATAAAGACCATTCTACCCCAACACATCCTTAACCTAATCCGCACCAAACGCCGTGCCAGATTATTATGGCAACGTACCCGACATCCTACCGACCGCTGCTCCTATAATTACTACTGCAAACAATTAAAACTGGAATTAGCCACCTTCAGATCACAATCCTTCAACTCCTACCTATCCTCCCTCTCTTCTCGCGACAATTCCCTTTGGAAAACCACAACAAAAATCCTAAATCCTCACCGCATTTCCCATCCTCTCCGACGAGGTGATGGCTCCTGGGCAGCATCTGACGAAGATAAAGCTGAGGAGTTCGCCATTCACCTATCCAATACATTTATTTCACATCCGGAATCCCATCCTGCCCACACCGTAACAGTAGAAGAACTCCTTACATCACCAATCCCACTTTCCTTGCCCCCAAAAGCTATTCATCCTTCCGAAGTAAAATTTCAATTAAAAAAACTAATCCTCCATAAAGCTCCTGGACATGATCTCCTTACACCTCAAATCCTTCGACAACTTCCATCCAAAGCAGTCATATTCCTTACATATATCTACAATTGTATCCTACGCACCACCCACTTCCCTCTGTTATGGAAACACTCCACTATTATCCTTTTCCCAAAACCAGGAAAACCTCTCAATAGCTCAACATCCTATAGACCAATCAGCCTACTCCCAATCCTTTCAAAAATTTTTGAAAAGATCCTTTTGAAACGAATCCTACCCATTATAGAATCCCAAAATATCCCTTCCCATCAGTTTGGTTTTCGCTCTCAACATTCTACTGTTCAACAAGGACTCCGAGTTGTTGATCATATTTCCTCAGCCCTAGAAAACAAGGAATACTGTTCGGGTGCCTTTCTGGACATTGCACAGGCATTTGACCGGGTATGGCACTCCGGACTGCTCTCCAAGCTTAAAATCCATTTACCTCAGTCCTTGTACCTAGTCCTCCGATCCTACCTCTCTGACCGCTCCTTTCGAGTTCGCTGTGGAACAGAATTTTCCAATATCTACTCCGTTAAAGCCGGTGTTCCCCAAGGCAGCGTCTTGGGTCCCGTGCTTTACATCCTCTTTACTGCTGACATCCCTGTTCATCCCGATACTTTTCTTGCAACATTCGCTGACGACACCGCAATCTTATCATCCAACTCTGATCCCGAAATAGCATCCTTAAATCTCCAAAGTCACCTCACCTTGATTGAGCACTGGTGTAATAACTGGCGCATTAAAGTTAATGAATCTAAATGCCAACATATTACCTTTACACTCCGACGCAATTCCTGTCCACCAGTACTCTTTAATTCCATCCAGCTTCCTTATTCAGACACAGTCCGGTATCTTGGCTTTCATTTAGACCGAAGACTAACTTGGAACCCGCATACTAGACTCAAAAGACAAGAGCTCAACCGACGATACGGCCAACTATACCGACTACTAAGCAGAAAATCTAAACTTTCCATTGAAAACAAGCTACTGATCTACAAGACAATAGTGAAACCTATTTGGACTTACGGACTAGAACTGTGGGGATCAGCAAAATTTTCTAACATCAAGCGCATCCAATCCTTCCAGTCTAAAGTCCTTCGAACAATAGTCGATGCTCCTTTCTATGTATCCAACAAAACTCTACATCATGACCTTAACATCCCATTTGTCCTAGACCTTATCCCAGAAAAATTCTCCAAATTTCACCAGAACCTTACTTACCACCCAAATCCTCTTGCACAATCCCTATCAAGCATCTCCCATCCCTATAATCCTCCAAGAAGGTTGAAACGGCAGTGGCCTCGCGACCTTTTGTAGATTATATAAATTGGAGTTCTGGCAATGGCCTGATTCTTCACTCAAGACATGTATGTATGTGGCTAAAGTGCTCTCGACCAATCTCCGCTGGCTTTAGTACCAGTGACGTGGTTGGGAGAGTAGCGCAGGGTTCTCCTGGAGTTCCCTCGCCTGATTGTATATAGGTATGCATGTGTTTTTTTTTTGTTTTTTTTTTTTTTCCTTAGTTTTAATTTTCTTATTTTTTAGGTTATTTTATTTTATTGTCTTTTGTATATACTTTTGATTATTATTTTGTTCTATTGATTTTATTTTTTTGTACATATGGTGTGAATGTCATCCTACTTCACTATAACCAATGTCCAACAGACAGATTGTTATAATACTCAATAAAGAAATTTAAAAAAAAAAAAAAAAAAAGAAGGATAAAGAAAAAAAAATTATTTGTCACACTCATTCCTATGTACAATATTGACATTCTGCCTAGGGGACCCTAAACCATGCTTTGACACTCTAATGTGAGAGGCAAAGCAGGGCTCAAAGAAATCCCAGCATTTTTCTCCCAGTCGCATCACTGTTTGAAAGTCAGTGAAGGCTGAGTGAGAATGCTAAAGCCACAAACACTCAGGACTAGAGCGGAGAAGCTGGCCACTGCCAGAACTATCTACAAAAAGACTCGGGACCATTGCCGTTTCAATCTTCTTGGAGGATTATATGGATGGTTGGAACTGGAAAAGGATTGTGCTAAGGGATAGGATGATGGATAAGTTTTTGACGGAAGTTTGAGAATTTGGATGAAATTAGGTCAAGGTCAAATAGGATCTTGAGAGCGTGATGCAGGGTTTTATTTGTGATGTATTATAGAACATTGAAGTTCAAAGGACTTTGGATTGAAAGGATTGGACGCGTTTGCTGTTCATAGATTTAGCTGTCTCCCACAGTTGGAGTCCATAGATCCAGATGGATTTTAGTATGGTCATGTATATTAGTAGTTTGTTTTCAATTGAAAGATGTGAGTTTCGGTTCAGTAGTCTATATAGCTGACCAAATCGTCGGTTAAGTTCTTGCCTTTTAAGTCTGGTATGAGGATTCCATGTCAGTCTCTTGTCTAGAAGGAAGCCCAAGAAGGACTGTGTCTGAGAAGGGAAGAGGTATTGAGTTAAAAAATATAGGTGGACAGGGTTTGGGTTGGAGTGTGAAGGTGCTTATACTTGGATTCATTTATGGTACATATATACTAGCGGATATCTAATTTTATTTCACATAGCCTCCCTTATCTCCTCTAACCTAAGTTATTCCCTCGTTTATTTTTTCTTCCTTGTGTAAGCTGTGAGTTAGTCTTATTTAATTATGGATGTTGTCACATTGTGGGAATTGCCGTCTTCAGGAGAAGGTACTACCAAATATTTTCAAGACGCCGTGGTATTTGCAAAGGTGAAATATTGTGAGGAAGGTCATCAAATGAAGTTCGACGGAAAGATTAAATGGAGATGCTTTCGTAGTTGTAACAAAACCGTTTCTATAAGGAAACCGTACCAAAATAAATTAAATTAAAATAAAATTGTTCATATTTTGTTTACATCGTTTCTTTTATACATCGTTCTTTATAGTCTTCGTGGTGTTTCTTTTATATGTACATATCCTGTTTAAGTGGTTTTTTATTATTTCATTTATTTTTATATATATGTTGCAATGTTTTTTAATTATATATGTATAATGTTTTGGTCTATTTAATATATATCTTGTAAAATAAAAGTATTTTTTTATTATTACATTTTTTTTGTCCCAATTTCAATACAATACAATAAATATGAATACGAAGATATAATAATATGAATATAATAAAATAAATGTGAATACAAAGATATTATCAGTGGCTTATCAGAGTTATCAGTGTTAAGGTTATAAACATTGGCTGATAGCAGTCGGACGCTACCTGCTATTATATAAGTACATCATTTACTTTAATACGCCAATCCTTACACCACTGCTCAATTAGGGAAAGGTGGCTTTGCAGGTTTAAGGATGCCATTTCATGTTCTGAGTGGGAGGAAAGGAAAGCGGTATCACAAGCAAATGTTGCCAGGAAAGTATTGGGATTTGTAGGGATATCAGCAGTTAATGTATAGAACTGGGCCCAAGACGCTGCCTTGAGGAACACCAGCTTCTATTGGATAATAGTTGGAGAGTTCTGTGCCGCAGCGTACCTGGAAGGAACGATTGCAAAGGTAAAGATAAGGATTGGGGTAAATGGATATTGAGTTTGAAAAGCAAGCCACCGTGCCACACCCGGTCGAAAGCTAGCACTACTTTCAGAAAGGCGCCGGTGCAATATTGCTTGCTTACAAGTGCGGAGGATATGTGATCAACAACACGAAGGCCTTGTTGAACTGTGGAATGTTCTGAGCGGAAACCGAATTGATATGAGGGGATTTTTTGGGAATTAAGTATGGGTAGGATTCGTTTGAGAGGATCGGAAGAAGGCTTATTGGTCTGTAGGAAGAGGTTCCATTGACAGATTTGCCTGGTTTTGGGAAAAGGATGATGATGGAGTGTTTTCATAACAGAGGAAAGTGAGTTGTTTGAATTATACAATTGTATAGGTAGGTAAGGAATATAATAGCTTTTTTAGGAAGTTGTCGAAGGATCTGGAAAATGAGGAGATCGTATCCAGGAGATTTTGTGGGTTTCAGTTTAGTTAAAAGGAATTTGACCTCAGAGAGGTCAACAGCTTTAGGAGGTAAGGATAGAGGAATCGGTGAAGAAAGGAATTCTTAGCTTTGGTTGTGTGAGAGGGATAAATGTTTTGGATAGATGCTTTGCCCATCATCAAGTCGAAGGGGGTGGGAAATGGTGTGGTATTTTAAGATTTTCTTTGTTGTATTCCAGTGAGAATTATCAGAAGTAGAGAGCGAGGAGAAGTGGGAATTGAAGGATTGGGATCTGAAGGTAGCCAATTTCTTTTTTAAAAGTTTGGAATGATGGTTGTACTATTCCCGGTCGTCAAGATACCATGTTCTTTGCCAGTGAACATCGTTTGGCATGAATGAGGTCTTCTAGGTCTTGAGGTAAAGGATCTTTCTTGCGGTATTTAAGGGAAGGAAGAAGTAAAGAAGCAATCCAGACCGCTTGTTGGATCGAGGTAGTGAAGGAATTCACGGCATCGCCTAGGTCTCAGGGAGTTTTTAGGGATACTCTGAGGTCAATTTTTTCGTTTAATATTTGTTGAAAAATGTTTCAGTTAACTGGGCCCCTTATGAATGAAGGTGGAGATGATTTGGGAATTCTTGATGTGGAAAGGGTTAGGATAAGCGGACTATGATCAGAGGATAGATCATCGAGCCTTGATTCATTCTCTAAAGTAAATTTTCAGCGCAAAGCCATAAATTAAATAAATATTAACTGTTTTTTAAACTAAAGTTATATTTTGAATAAAGATTATCCCTAAGCTTAATCGATGCTTCACACACAGTCAATTTTTATTATAAATGATATCCCGATCCCAAAGGCGGATCTACAGGGATGAGGAGAGCTTTCTGGCTGAAGCCCCCCCCCCAAAATGGTAAAATATAACCATGTTTTATAGAAAAAAATATTAAAAACTATCTCTTAAATTATTATTGTGTGATTAAATTTAATAGGACTTCAAGAATAACTAAGACACAATGTCATATGGGTAGTTAGTTTCTTTCTTTTTATTTTTCAAATTAATTATCGTTATATATATATGAAAAAAAAAAATCCTTCGGGTTGAAGCCACCCCCAAAAATTAAATCCTGGATCCACTAGAGCCTGATCCTATTTCACAAAATCAGGTTTATTTTAATTTTTATTATTTATTTATTTTTTCATTCAGTCATTAATGATCTATTGGAGACATCCTAGCCAGCTGATTCCCTCTAACTTTATAAAGTTCTTACTATGTCTATGTTTTCCAGAATAGTGTTTATATCAACATTACTACTCATTTTTTAAACACCATCTGTATAAGCTTTCCCTT